ACGAAATGGAGGAATCGATTTTTCATTGATGAGATACGTGGTTGTCTCCTCCCCTCCTCTTGTAGGGTAGTTTTTTTTTTGAAAATATATTGTCTAGCGGAATCTCAAAGAGGAAGATCTTTTATTTTCCTAAATTATATGGTAAATTTATAAATGGTGCCTTGGTGCCTAGAAGTATAATAAAGTTTACAAATTGTCATTATTAAACAAATTAGGTACATAATATATGCAAAGTTTACATATTAGAATATAATGTTTACAAACGTCACATTTTCAAAAGTTACAACCTATATGCCAAATGTTTAAAGAGTTACAAATGACAACGTTACAAACACGTTTTTGGTATCCGATTGTATTAGTTCCTGATGAGGATGCCAATCCAGCCTTGTGTGGTACAATCCCCAAAGTGCCTTTTATCCTACCTGTGATGTTCTGCTCCAATCAACTTCGTCCCTATCTTATCCGCTACAAATAGAGACGCAAAAGCCAAAAACCGAAATTAAAAGCCAAAAACCAAAAACCCGAAATCGAGAAAAAACCGAAAAAAAACCGCAAATATATCTTTATCGGTTCGGGTTCAGTTAAAACCAAAACCCAAACCCAAATTGACACCCCTAGTGTCACCCGGACCAAACCAACCCAAAACCCAAAAAAACTAATTCACATGGATGGATGCGGGTGTTGAAATTATCGACCCTGTGATTGTTAGAAATCGAACAGAAAAATTTAGGGTTACCGATCTGGCTGAGTCGCGGACTATGTCGCTCTCTTTAAGACGTTCGCGGCACTGCCTCGTTATTCGCACAGCAGACTATCAGCCGGTCGCCTCCAGGATAAAACAGCCATTCTAATTTTATTGCTCATAGGTTTTGTGCGAAAAACCGGAGCTCTATGAACTCACTCTCTCTCGTGTTTCTGCTCTTCCGAGGTGTGTTTAGAGGGTCTGGGACGTCTCCTATTTATAGGAGCAGAAAACCCAGAATATTCCCTCTTTCTTTGAGAATAAGTCACATTTTAATTAGGGAGATAATTACTTCCATAATTAAAATATATTATGTTAAGATAATTAATTCTAATTATCTCCATAATATTCTTTTTATTAATTATCCTTCTATTTTCGTATATAGAAAAATACTGGATAATTAATTCAATATAGCTTTCAAAGCTATTCATTCCCAACAATCCCTCACTTGAATAGTTTTGAAACTATCTCTGAGCATCAACAAATCCATAAGATCGGGCATAAACTAAGGTATCGCGAAGATTTGAACCTTAGCGTAGTGGTTACACTTCCGATTTCATAAGGGTGACTCGTAGTCTTGAACCATATCTCAGACAATGTAGCACACCGGATCTTTTCATTGAGTGATATTCTCTCATAGGCCGTGCGTTTATGGCCATGCACGTTATCCCGGTTTAGTGAACGCTCTAGCAACTTTGTGCCTCCAAAGTTCCATAGGGAGCGGCCCCACTCCCACATTCACATAGGTGAGTCTATCAGAAGTACCCCCAAAGTAAAGTACTTCACTCCACATAGAGTATAGATCCCATTAAGAGTTTTAACTCAACCTCCAAGGCTTTGGGATTCATGCTTCACTATGCATGAACTTTTCTCAATATTACTCATGACTTGTTATTACCCATTGAACCCGTTTCTTGGGATCTCCAGTCTATCGGGTCGGGTTACCATCACTTGTAATCCATGGTTCGGTAGGCATAAGTCTCATACCCTTGGCGGTACTTTGGACTTTCTCTCTAGATAATCCTTTCGTCAAAGGATCAGCTAGATTCTGTTAGGATCTCACATGATCCACCCTTTTTGCTCCTATCGTTAGGAGTTCTCTTACAGTACTGTGCTTATGACGAATTTGCCGTCTCTTTTTGTTCTAGAACCGGTCCCCTTCTTTAGTAATAGCTGCGGTGCTATCACAATGAATCAACTACCGGAGGGATCGGTCTTTCGCATAAGGGAATCTCTAGTAGTGACCCTCTCAATCAACTTTCCTCTTTACTAGCCATTGCTAGTTCTATCATTTTTGATTTCTTAGTTGATTGAGCCAGGATCGTTTACTTCTTAGACTTCCAAGACATAGCTTCTCTATCGATGTTTAAAACACATCCTCTTGTTGTCTTGGAGTCCTCTATAGGGTATTCAAATCCGCATCACTATACCCTACCAATACAGCAAAACCTTCGATAACAAATACCAAGATTTTTTTCATGTTCTTTTAAGGTGTCTCATGACCCCTTTAAATAGCATTTCAATGCTTCGTACTAGGACAATCAATAAGCCTGCCAAGTACCCCCCACTAAATCGGGTCTCATGTTTATCAGTTGCCTCTCGCAGACTGTAAATGCTAGTATATTCTAACTTTCTTACACCGTCTTAGGTGTTCTTTAAATATTTATACGAGCATCATCAAACAAGTATGCAGGTGTACATCTTGTATTTTCCTAGTTATTAGGATCTCTAAGCATAACATTTGTTTCATCCAGATCCTTCATATTCAAAATTCTCAACCATCATGGTTTTTCAATATTGACATTACGAGTCTTTGTACCAAAGATCGATGTGTCATCAATAATGCAAGTGTCATTCTCAAATTTGTACTAAATGCACTTGTCACTTTCACTTTTAAAACCATGAGAGAGAACCAGTTTATGCATGCCATCGTCTTAGAGTCTATTTCAAATCTTACAATGATTTGTCTAACTATAGACTCCCTAAGCATGTTCAAGAATAACAACCCTATAGGTTGTCCCATGTAGATTTTCCTATCTGAATCACCATTCACAGAAACATGTTTAACAATCCATCTGACGCACAACACTAGCAATCAGAACATACATGGATGTTATTCTACATATGGTGAATAGATAACAAGAAAATTTAAATTTTTTCCTTTTCTCTTAAAGCCTTAGCTATTAGGCGATCCTTATACTCATAAACTAAACCAATAGGTTTTACTTTTCTTTTAAGAATCCATTTATTACCCATGACTTCATTGCCAAGAGGTAATTCTCAAAGATGCCAAATCTTGTTCGATTCTATCGATATATTACCCAAGGCTTTTCAACCAAGAGGTAACTCTACAAGATTTTAAGTCTTATTAGACTCTAATAATTCCATTTCGTTAATAATGGATTCTCCCACAATTCTGCATCTTTATGGAAGTTCGAACTTCTAGCAGACTTGTAGGATCTTTCTTTCTTAGGGTGTAAATAACAAATTCATAACCAAAAACCTTAAGAGATTTCAGGTTCATTTGCTTCTTCTGAGTTTAAACTCAGATTTATTACTCCCACTAGTTCCATTATTTCTAATAGTAGGCAGGACACTACCCCCACTATTTCTTGATTTAAAATGGAAGTTTCTTGGCATTAATGGATTTCACAACAACATGAGTATTTCGTTTCATAGGAACTATGTGTTTTTATTGTTAAGAACATAAAACACACTCATATGCTCTTCTAGTTATCATGCTACACTGATTTTCTAACGCTACCACATGCATGCCACATATCGAATAATTAGTGCAATCATAATGCAATTAGGCATTTCAAACCATTTCAAATAACTAGTCAAACAATCAGAGCTCTCTAAAGAGCAATAAATTGTTTATTGTCTTTTCTATCAAGTTTACTCACATAAATCAGATCTATTTATTCTGATTCTCTAATCACATATTTATGGGTCATTTAGCTTGGATATTATAAATTCATATTTTTCTCAAGCATCCAATAATAATATGAGAATGCGATATGAGATATTCTAATTCTTCACACAGACACACTTGGAAGAATTTATCTTATCTACTTAACCATTCCTTACATCTAGGATAGTCAATGACTTTCTAGAGGCAGGGTTCTCTTCCACTTTTCCAGAACCATCAACAATAGTGGTGAGGGTCTTGCCCAACAACACTTTCTCCTTCAATACGCGTCAATGTATGATTGAGCTTAGCTCGTTTATCACACACATATCTTGAAGCGGTCCTATCCAACAACCATTCTTCAGAGTTACCATTAAGGCTGACCTCTGTCATCACCTCAGTGAATATTATTACCAAATCCTCTTCTTTAGTCAAGTTAACACTAGGTTAAACTTGTTCTTACACTTTCGTGTCTTATGACCTAGTTTCTCACAAATTTAACAGAGAAACATAACGTCATTCTTAGAGGATTGGGTGACAATCTTATGGTTACCACAAAGGGTACCATTCTAATTGGTGTGGATCTGGTTCAGTTGCTGCTCTCATTCTTGAAACTTTAATGTTTCACAGCAACCTCAGTGGTTCGTGTAGTACTGATAACAGTACTTCTTACAATATCGTCACTATGGCCAATTAAGAATTAACCCATTCTATTCCCATGTATTCTTCATATATATGCACGCATTTAAACAAAATCATTCTACTCCACAACAGATATTCAATTTATACTCTAATCATCGAGGTAATACACGCCTCAATATCGACATATACATGCATCAATTTTAGTTTTACTTTCTCGCATTCAAATGGTTCTCAATACCATATATAGAGCTTAATGGAATAGAATGTAATTATCATTTATTGATGATTCACAAAAAAGGTTTCAATTCTTACCTCTTTTCCGAGAAGTCATTAACTTGAGATATTTCAAAGAAGGGGTGGCATCACCTCTTCGAAGTACAGGTGCATATGAGACCACATATGTCATTTACTCCCAACTGCATACCTTCCCTTTTCACCTTTACAATTCCAAGCTTTGAATATCTCTCTGGTATTCAAGGTTTCCACTGTAATCACACGGTGCACAAGATGGGTTTGATCATGTCCAAACACTGCCCACTCGGAAACCAATCTCTTCATCGGTTTTATCGGCGCTAGCAGCAAAGCCAAACATTGGCCTCCTCGTCGCGGGTGCCTACAGCCTACAGGAGTACTTTCAGCACGTTCCTGTGCCAGAGATTGGATTACGGATTTGAGCTCCGCTAGCTGATCACAAAATTTCATTTGATGGCGACTTGCGTTCCAGCGCTCCACGTCGGCATCTCTCGGTTTAAAGATAACGCCTATGGAAGAGACTTTTTCAATAAGCAGCCATTCCTCGACTGCTCATCTCCTTGTCCAATATCCACCTACGTTTTTCCCTCGATGAGGGGGCAAACCAAAGTCAGAACGGAGTCGTTAATTGTAAGTCATCAATTGGATGAGAACAATAAATTAGCCCTGACGGAATTGAAGGGCACAAAATCACTCCCTTCTTTCTTATCCTGGTGCGGCACGCTTCCTACTGCTTCTTGCTCCTTGTTGTTGCTCCACGCAACCGATCCGAGGGCGGAACTAAAAGAAGCTTCCCGTAAGATCCAGCTGAACTGGCTGCCTCAAATCCCTTGGACATTTTTCTTTATGCTCGAGGTGGATTTGTGCGGAGCTGATTAATCCGCTATGGTCTCCATGAAAAATAACATCAACTCTCATGGAATCCGCGATAATTATGATCGGCGCGGCCATATAAATCAGTCAAACCAGAATCCGCATCCTGTTCAGTACACACGACAGCAACCAAACCTCTTAAAATTGTTAGAAATCGAACAGAAAAATCTAGGGTTACCGATCTGGCTGAGTCGCGGACTAGGTCGCTCTCTTTAAGACGTTAGCGGCACTGTCTCGTTATTCGCACATCAGACTATCAACCGGTCGCCTCCAGGATAAAACAGCCATTCTAATTTTATTGCTCATTGGTTTTGTGCGAAAAACCGGAGCTCTATGAACTCACTCTCTCTCGTGTTTCTGCTCTTCCGAGGTGTGTTTAGAGGGTCTGGGACGTCTCCTATTTATAGGAGCAGAAAACCCAGAATATTCTCTCTTTCTTTGGGAATAAGTCACATTTTAATTAGGGAGATAATTACTCCCATAATTAAAATATATTATATTAAGATAATTAATTCTAATTATCTCCATAATATTCTTTTTATTAATTATCCTTCTATTTTCGTATATAGAAAAATACTGGATAATTAATTCAATATAGCTTTCAAAGCTATTCATTCCCAACAGTGATGTCCGGATTGGTTATGGGTTTTTCCTTTGGGCTAATACCACTACAACACCCAAACTATTCCGAAAATGTCACTTGTGTCCTATTGTTTTCAATATTCCATCTGTGTCCTGAACTATTTTTCTGTTAAAGTTGACTTGTTTTGACCGTTAATTTTTAACGGAAAGTCTAGTCAGCGTTGATGTGGCAAATGACGTGGAATTTTTATTTAATAAAATAATTAAAAAAATAATGAAAAAAAAAACTTTCCATCTCCACCATTCATCCCTTATCCCTTTCTCCCCATTCACCCTTCCCGGCATCTGCTGCTACTCTGCCCAACAACGACAGCAACACCATGCTCCGGCAATCATCTCTGATTTCTTCACCGAATGGATTCTCCTCCTCACCCACGAGCGAGCCATGATGTGAGATGCAGATGCCCACAATGAATCATCCGCAGAGCTCTACGAATCCTGGCCGTAGGAGGGTTGATTTTTTTGGTTTCTATGTTGTTCTATCGCTAGTAAATCAAGGCGGCGGATCTGGGTTCGCAAGAAGCGAGGTCGCCGATATGGGGGTTCCTCGCCAGTGCGAGGGATTTGGGTTCCTCCATTGATTTGGCTCGTCATCCTTGAGCAGATCCTCGTCGTAGGTGGAGCTGTAGACTTCTCTGGTCAGCTTCCGTTGGGCTGCGTTCCGGTGCGGCAGGATCGAGATGATCAGAGCCTCGTTCGTCCCCCATCCTGATCGTTAACCACAAAAATTAAGATCAACGGACTGCCGGAGATTATTGAGATCTACCGACGATAATTGAGATTGAAATTAACGTCGACGGTCTAAACGATCGGATCGTCGGAAGAAGGGATCGTGCTAATTAATCTATCGGAGAGAAGAAAGGAAAACCAAGAGGGACGGTGGAGGATTAATGGGGGAAGGGAAGGGGAAACCTGAGAATGCCTTGCGGAGCTGCTCGAAGTCTTCAACGGCGTCGGGAGCCTGGTGAAGACGAAGAGAAGAGCAGGAGCATTTTATTATTATTATTATTTTTGGTAGAAACATTTTATTATTATTGAAATTACATGTTTTTTAATTTTGTATTTCTTTATGTTTGGTTGTTATTTAATTTAAATTAAAAATGTGAGGTGTCAATGACTTGGCATTGCCACGTCAGCAAAAGTCAATGTTAAGTTGACCACCGTTTGGTCAACCGTTATCTTTAACGGTCAACGAAATTGTCAGGATACAAATGGCATAAAGTATAATAGTTCAGGACACAGATGGAATATTGGAAATAATAGGACACAAGTGGCATTTTCCGAATAGTTCGGGTGTTGTGGTGGTATTAGCCCTTTTCCTTTTGTTGGTCGGATAAATTTTATTTTATATATATATAAATTAATTAATTCATTGATATTTTGAATGATTTGCAATCTATTAAATACTTTATATATGATTTGAACGTAATTTATGTTGTTTGTTATATTAGTGATAATTAGTTTTTAGGTATTTCTTACGTTCAGTTCATCATAACATACAATTTTTTTATATGTTTTCCTATATATATTAGCACTGTTTGTCAGCATAAATTGTTCATGAGGTATTGATCAAAGAAATTCGGTACTATTACTTACTTTTCTATTAGCTTCAAACAAAACTAAAGCAATTATGTATAGAAGTAGTGACTAGAATGGTCTACTGGTAATATAGAAAAATAAAATTTACCACATACCGGTTCAAATTTCATGGCCAATATTCGTCTAAAAATATAATAACTAAAAAATCATAAATTATCAAATGGTAATTTCATTGATAATTACTCAATGTTCAAAAACAATTGTGATTAAATTGAGCACACGGACAATTTGCCACAAATTTGGATAGTCATCTGCAACAATAAAATGCTGTGCAAAAAGATGAGCGAATTTAGATTGATAGGAAGAATAAGGTGAATAAAAAGGTTATAGTATATGCCACCCTAATATGTATTTTTTTCAAATAAGTCCTGCTTTTTTACATTAAATGCACCCATTTATCATTAATTTTACATAAAATATGTCCACATACTTTACAAAAATTATCAAACATTTTCTTCTGTTAATCCGTCTGAAAATCGTTAACAGCGATCGAATCATTTTGGTTAAATAAAAGGGAAAATGACGGGTTCACCCCTTCAGTTATTAACTTACACCGAGAACGTTCTCTGAAAATATCATTCCAAGCCTGAAGGCATAGCACTGAAAACCTTCACCGGAATTACCCCTACAGGTCGGGCGACGAGAAGAAACCTGTTCTATTGCAACTTGCAAGCAGATTGTGGAACGCAGTTGACTAATGGAAATGCTACTCATATTTGTTCTGATGATAGGGAACCAACAGCTACTGGGCTAAGATAGTTGAAGCCCACCATAAGCTCATATTTCCTTCTTGGCTCGTTACAACTAGGGGTGGGATTCGGTACGCCAGTAAACGGTTTACCGCTTTACCGACCGTTTACCGGTGGTATCAGCGGGATTTTTCCAAAAGTAGCACTGTTTAAAAAAAAAAATCCAAAAATAGCACACCTCCGAAAAATTCCAAAAATAGCACCCTTTCTGCAAAACCGCCACCCGTACCAGCGGTTTAGGTAAAAAACGCCACCCAGGGCGCGTTTTTCGATGAAAACCGCACTGGCAGAGGGCGGTTTTACAGACCGCACCCTCACCATGCGGTTTGGTTGCAGATCGCACCCCCACCATGCGATCTGCTTTGTTTTTTTTTTTTTTTGAAAAATCCTAACCTAGGTGGAAACTTCAAACGAACGTATCTTTGTGTTCGGGTATCCGAACGTCGCGAATTTTTTTTTGATTCCGCATAACTTTTTGAGATCTTGCAAGTCAAAGACTGCCGAAGGTGGTTTGGTCCCGCCTTCGTCCCAAAAAATGCCGTTTGCTACCCCGAACGAGTTTTTTTCCGATTTCGTCAAACTTTGGACAACCATAACTTTGTGCTCCAAAATCCAAACAACATAATTTTTTTTTTTATTTCGCATAACTTGTTAAGGACTACAATTTTACTAGGAATGAATTTTCAAAACGGGAATTATTTTTGGATATACTGGATTTTGGGAATATCTTACCTTTCCTTCTCAGCAATCCACGTACATATTGAAATTATGTCTATGATAAAAGTTGTATTCCTTAAAAAATTATGAGAAATAAAAAAAAATTCATGCCGTTTGGATTGTGGAGCACAAAGTTATGGTTGTCCAAAGTTTGACGAAATCGGAAAAAAGCTCGTTCGGGGTAGCAAACGACATTTTTTGGGATGAAGGCGGGACCAAACCACCTTCGGCAGGCTTTGACTTGCAAGATCTCAAAAAGTTATGCGGAAACAAAAAAAAATTCGCGACGTTCGGATACCCGAACACAAAGATACGTTCGTTTGAAGTTTCCACCTAGGTTAGGCTTTTTCAAAAAAAAAAAAAAAGCAGATCGCATGGTGAGGGTGCGATCTGCAACCAAACCGCATGGTGGGGGTGCGATATGCAACCAAACCGCATGGTGAGGGTGCGGTCTGTAAAACCGCACCCTGCCAGTGCGGTTTTCATCGAAAAACGCTCCCCCGGGTGGCGGTTTTCACCTAAACCGCTGGTACGGGTGGCGGTTTTGCAGAAAGGGTGCTACTTTTGTAATTTTTCGGATTTGGGTGCTATTTTTGGATTTTTTTCAAACAGTGCTACTTTTGGAAAAAATCCCGGTATCGGCGGCGAGCGGCGAATTGGGTGGGTCGGTATACCGAAACCGGTATCGGTAAATACCGACGGTAAATCGGTAATACCGATACCGAACCCAAAATGACGTCGTTTTATTTGGCAAAGATTTCAACCCTAGTTCTAAAAAATACCCACCCAGCAGAGAGAGCAGCCGCCACCCTTCCTTCTTCGTTTCGAAATCACCAGTTCAGAGAGAGCAGCCCCGCGCAGCGCCGCATCCACCTCTCCTCTTCTCCTCTTCGCCGGACGCTGCTCCTTCTGCCGCCGCCGCCGACCCTGAATCCCTCACCCTCCCAGTCTCCCTTCCCTCGCCGAGTGCCGACGCCGCAACGCGTGACTGAAACCCTGAAACCCGCCGATGGCCCCACTTCCCCGCCTCCACCTTCCCGCTTCCTCGCCGACGGCGACCTGGCCCGGAAACCCTCTCCCTTCCCTCGGCGACTTGGAGGTAAGGCAGAAACCCAAACATCCCCGCCGACGGCGACCCGGAATACCGCCCACGTCGTCCTTTGCGGTAATTCAGTAAACCGGTTTGTAACCGTTTACCGGTAATTCGGTAATCGGTAAACCGGTTACAAACCGGTATCGGTAAACGGTAAACAGTTTGGCCACCCTCGGTATACCGGAATCTGTAAATTCGGTAAACGGTTTACCGTTTACCGACCGATTCCCACCCTTACAACACAACCCACCCATTCATCCGAGAATGAACCTCGAAGATGAAAACTTTTCACCCATGCTTCCCATAAAACCACTCCGAAAAAATCTCTATGGCTAGAAAATTTTTAATGGGGATTGTAGTTTTCTTTTTCAGTTATTAATTAGAGTGTACATTAGTTGAGAACATGACGTTTTACAATGTGGTGATTATGGACTTTTTTTTTTCAAAAAGGGAGGCCGAGACCAAGAAAGCAGGGGGTTACATATCAGAGGGTGCCATCACCTTGACTGTAGCGGAGATGGTGTTGAATGGTGAGTGGAATGTGAGCTACCTAAATGCTTTCTTACCCAATTTTATTGTCTCGCAGGTTCTGCTCCATCCGGTCCCCCACGAGGAAGGTCCAGACATTAGGGTGTGGAGGCTTTCTCCATCGGGAAAATTCTCCATGCGCACTGCTTATGATCTTACTACGGAGGAAGAGGAACCTCGAGCGACACATCCCATTTGGCGTGCAATTTGGCGTACTCCGACAACCAGGCGCGTTCAAGCCTTCCTCTGGCTCGCTACTCAAGGTCGTCTTCTCACCAATGCGGAGCGACAAAGACGACATCTTACAATGACACCAACATGCACTGTGTGTGGAGATGGTGATGAAACTGTGACCCATGTCCTTCGAGACTGCCCATATGCTAGAGGTGTGTGGGCAGAGTTCTTGGAACATGAACCAGACCAGGAATTCTTTCAGGCTGACCCATTTCATTGGTTGCTTCACTACATGTCTGGTCGTGGCAAGTCCATCGACGCTACTCTCTTTGCAGGCACATGCTGGCTCTTGTGGAAAAACCGGAATAATCACCAGTTTGAAGGCAAGATTGAGACCATTACGCACACTCAGTTTCGCGCCAAGAAGCTCAGGCATAACACTATCTCGGCCTTCAAGAAGGAGAGTCACCTGTTCGGGGACGGGCGAACTAGAGAGAGGAGGTTAATTAATAGGGAGCTACCTCAGACTGGTTGGACAACCATCAACACAGATGGTTCTGTCATTTACTCTCCTTCGAGCACGGCAGCAGGCGGCGTCGTGAGGGGCGACGACGGCCGCTTCATTCATGCTTTTTCTTTGAACCTTGGAGGGGGTTCAATTACCCGTGCAGAGCTGGCTGGGATTGCGTATGGTCTCAAGATTGCTTGGGAACTGGGGCTTAGGAAGGTGATTCTACAGTCAGACTCGCAGACTGCCATTCAGCTGATTCAGTCGGCTCAACCAAACCACCCACATTTTGTTGTTGTGAGGGAGATCAAACGTTTGATAGCTTGCCATGGCAGGTTCGTATTGAGCATATTTTTAGGGAAGCAAACTTTGTAGCTGACTACCTAGCTTCCCTCGGTCACACTTTTTCTTTGGGAGTCCATTCGTTTCAGACTCCCTGTCTTCTCATGAATTACTGGTTGTACTTTGATTTGATTGGAGTGACAACTCCTCGTTTTATTAATGGATAAGGGTTAGGGTGCCCCTGAAGCGCTCTGATTTCAACCGAAAAAAAAAAAGAGGGTGCCATCACCTGGCGATTATGGACTTAACTCCTTATAAAATATGCTCCCATTGATAATAGGTGACTTACTCTACTGGCACTTCAAAGGACAAGTGCCCTGTCCCATATATTAAATGGGGCTTGAAGATCAAGATTGCCGTTGACCTTTTGATTTGATCATTATGGTACATGAACAATACTTTTCATCATATTAGGCACACATTTGTTGTTTTGGTAATCGCGATACATGAACTTTATACTTATTAGTGATTCTTAATAAAGATGATAATATGTCATTATCTACACTTATGTACACCAATGGATCATGGTTCATAGTAAGCAAGGACACTAGAAATTCAGAACAGAGCGGTGAGATTCACGAAGGCAGAAAAGACCCGTAAAAAGCTAATACATGCAAACAAATAGCACAGATCTTGCCAATGGAAAATCCCAAGGTAACGAGTTCACAACTTTACTACCCTCCTCTTCAACAGGTGCGAGACATAAGAGAGAGATGTTCTGCACTTTTTGTTGGATTTCAATACTGATGTGGCTTGTCCCAATCGTTAGGCGATGACACCTACTGTTGTCGTTGGCAGGTACTGCTTTCGTGGACAGCGAAGGTGGGCGACCTTGGCTCCCTTCTCTTCTCCCCATGACTAAAACCCTACCTAGAAACCCAAATGTAAACCAAACATCATATTCAGAATCGAAAAAGTGAAAAGCCTCCAAAAAGAACCTGCAACCAGGGCATTGCTTGACTTGTTGTCATCCGTCGTGAAACCTTCCTGGATTTTGCTTGCAAGGTTGTGAATGATCAATCTCATGTGCATTTACACATTAAACGGTCCATAATTTGTGAATGACTACAACATCATGATTCAATTCACCAGGGATCGAGTGGATTGGCCAAAAATGTAGAGAGAAACAATGACACCTTCTACCTTTTTATTCTTCAGGATCCTACATTGTCACAGTGAAATAAATCGAACTGAAAGTTATGGAGGCAATGTAACAATTTATACTAATCGAATAGAAAAATGAATCTATATATATAATGCTCCATTGCTGCTTCAAAGATACATGGTGACCTTTGACCTTCAAAGTTGGAGTTAATATAACACCATAACCATCCACCTAGGTATAAGAAATAACATTGTCACTATAATTGCGTAAGTGGAGGAGTAACTAATTTATATTATGTAAATATTGATATATGGATGACCATTGTCATAACCACATTAGATGCTCACTTGGGAGTTACATGTAACCCCTATTCCTACATTTGATAGCTCCTTTATGTTTCATTATCTCTCATTGATATAAGGATGTAGTGGTTACAAAAGTGTGCCTATAAAAAGAGCACACCATTTGTATCTAAAGTGAAGAATGAATAAGAAGAACTCTTCCCCTATCTTCTCTTGTGTCTTTCCCTCTCTAATCTTCTCTTGTAGTTGTTTATATTTTCCATTAGTTTCATAACACATTATCTTCTCTTGTGATATATTAGTACTATCTGTACACATAAAATGTAAACCAGAAGTTTATAAGATTTGATAACTTGGTAATTTGGTTGGTCCGGTTAGACCATCCCGGATCATGATGTGAAAAAAATTCTTTGAGAATTCATGGGGAACATCATATGAGAAGTCAAAGAACTCTTCAACTAAAAGAGTTATTATAACATGCTTGTTCTCAAGGAGAATAGAACAATTAATAATCACATGTAAAAGAGTTGATAAATCTCTTGAGATTTTATGGACATGTATGCAGAGCAAATGATGCATCAAATGTATGATCACATGTATTTTATCTAATTGCAACCCGATGTTTGCGATATTGGTTGCCTCACTAGCTATGGATACATTGTCATGGTTATCCAATCAAACATCACTTTGCTTAAGAGAACAAGCTGAGCTTTCCGATCTCTTTTCGAGGACATGCTCGCTGGCAAGTGATAGTATTTGTTCACATCTAACCAACAAGTTATCATAAGTTCCCCCCTTTTACAAATGATTTTGATAAAAAACCTAACATTTCTCATATGAGAATATCCGGGTGTGCCGCATACATCCCAATTGCTCTACCACAGTATCTTAAGTTGATTCTCGTTAGAAATTGAGAATTTGTGTTGGGTATGAATCCCAAATGGGAAATTTGTTTGCGAAATTATTGTTTGATGAATCACTTTTCCAACATTAAGGGGAGAGAGAAAAAACAGCTAGACAAAGAGATGAGTTGGAATGAGTTATCATTATCTAGTTTTGATCCTCAAAGTAAGAAACATGAACCTGAAGTTCATACGATGAATTATCGTTACCAACTATCAAATGCCTTTACTGGACATACGAAGCGACCAAGTCACATATACTAGCTGTGAACAATGCAGTCAAAATCTAGATTTTAAGTAAAATCGAAAACTGCGGTAGAATCGAAATCGTAGATTAAAATCGTAAAATCGTAAGATTTTAAGGTTCATATTAAAATAAATACTTAAAACACTAGATAGTAATAAAAATGCATATCTTTAATAACAGTCAACTACATGAAGCATAATTACTTCCCAAGATAAGTTTGTTTGCTAAACAAACACAACTAATCCATATATTTTTCTTGTACATAATAGAAACACACAAATAAGAAACCTGAAACATTATAGATATCACTGTTAATTAATTGTTAAGAGTAGAAAATCACATAAGATCGTTAGGATCAACATTAACATCACTTACACATCATCGTCATCATCCTCAACCTCACCCTCACTCTCATCGTTTTTATTTGTTTAAGGACTAATATCATTACTCTTATGATCACTTGAAGTACTTTCACCATTAACCATATTTCCTTGATTACCATCATCTGGAAAAGATAACTCATTGATCGATGCATTCCCTTCTTAATTGATAAAAGGTCGGGTTAGTGGTGCTGAAGGATTGGGAGATGAACAAAAGCTTGCAATGTAATGGAGATTTGGATTATTGTGAGGGTGGTGGGAACAAACTACAAGCTAATTGGGAGGGTGGAAGATATCGTTGATGGAAGGAGTTGGGCGCCGACGTGCGAAAAAGGAAGATACGAGGAAGAGAATGACAATAAATTGAGGGTTAACTATCAGGTTGGGGTTGTGTTGTTCATTATGTTGGATTGGGGAAAGTAAATTTGACTCGGTTCATGGGCATAACCCAACTTGACCGGTCTAATTTTGATCCAATTGATATGAACCTTGAAATCGTACAAAATCGTAGAAATCGTAGATTTTATGGATTTTAGAGTTTTAAATCGGGATTTTATGGGATTTTAAGGTTCAAAGATTTTACAGTAAAATAGGATCGGAACCCATAGGTAAGATCGTAAAATCGTAAGATTTTAAGATTAAAATCGGCATTTTGACTACATTGGCTGTGAATGCTCCAATTAAATTTGATATCCTTGTTGGATACTCTAATATAAAAAAATGTGTATGAAAGAGCGCATGAAGCGTGATAGACCAATCGGTTCCAATGATAAACATCCTTGAGAAAGAAAAGGAGCTGTAATTAGAATGGTCAACCCAAGGACATGAAAACTCAAGAAGAGTAACCAAGAATAAAATATAATTTTAGTTCCAGAAGAACACATGTATACGAAAGTTGTGAAAGAGAAGAGATCTCAAAACCATATTAGACTACAATGCTGGAACCGTAATGAAATCATTGTCGATGAAATTTGTTTGTTGTACTTTAGTACTGAATATCATATGTACAAGTGAAGATCACGAGTAAAACTCTATTGATGCATTCAAATGATGATGTTATTGGCCAATATAGAAAGAAATCGCGAAACTTGCTCAAGGAGCATAATGTTTAAGGACCAGAAGTCCTTACACTTGAAAATGATAAAAATAGCGGGATACAAACAAATTTTTGTGCTATTGGAAAGTATGAAATTTTGAGAGATATAGCACAATATTTTGCAATGAGTTTCTCGAAGAGACCTTTCATTGTTTGAGAGGAGTTATGCTGCCCTGTGGTGGATGCAACTACTTTTTCAAATTAATGTTTAAATCTATGTTTGATAATTATTGTGATAGCCTATTTGATTGAATTCCCTGAAGATGTTATATATTTTTTAAACTCCCAGAAGGATTAATTTACCTGAAGTAAACAAGTAAAGTTCTCGAGAACATATATCAATAGACTAAGAATATCCCCTGTATGGGATATAGACGAATGTGAAATACTCATCTAAGTGAACACCTACAACATTAGGGTGAATGGATCTTAAGAGGTTAAATCCGGATAGAGTGCATTAGAGCATTTACATTGTGCATATATAGTTGTGTTGTTTGTATGTGCTTCAAGGATTTTAAATTCTTCGTTTATGTGTTGTCTTTTACTTTAACGTATGAGTTGTGTTTTATGAGTGTGCTTTGTTGAATTCATATTGTTTTTATGATGTGAGTTTTGTTATTATCTTTCGAGATATGAAAGAATTTCTTGCATCAATACTTTGTGATGACCTCATATTATGTTTGATGATATGAATATTATTGGAGCTCCTGAAGAGCTTTCTAAAGCAGTTGATTGCTTATAGACATAAGTTAAATTGAAGGATTTAAGATCCTTTTATGGGCAATGAAGGTAATGGTGAAAAAGTGGAAAAGTAATTTTGCATGAACAAATTATGTTCATCAACTAAAATTAGGATCCTAAGATCACTAGAAGTGACCAAAGATCCATTTAGGCATCAAGAAAGAAGTGAAACATTAAGTCATGAAGTACTATATGTTGATGTACTAGGTCCTGAAGTACCATATGTTGATGCATTAGAGCACCATACAAAATATCATTTTGCTATTGATAATATTAGCAAAATACAATGTTTCTCTCAATGGAACATTGAAAATACTTTGTTACCTTCAAAAACAATATATGTGATTGTTCTATTATGGTATTATCAAAGATATATTTGATGAACTATATATCCAAATCATATATACCATTTGATCCTCATATTGGTTGATCGGAGGCGAGCTATCTCATACATATGATGATATAACTGTTCATAGAGAAACTAAACAAACTATAATAGGCAAGTCCTTAATGTACTTCGTTACACTTTGTGATCCACCATATCTAAAGGACTTGTGCTTGTGAACTATTTCCAAAGGAAATGGTCCTGACGATCATGTATGAAGAAAATCTGAAGATCATGCATTAAATTGACAATCTAGAAGATTGTTCACTAACTCACTCCCGACAACAATATTTCTAAAAGTTGTTCGTGAAATTTGAGTTCAACAACTCAAAGATTTGAAGTGATGTGGTCATGAGGGGAGCATATACGCACTACACTCTTTTGCCATTAACCATGGTTTTTTCCCACTGGGTTTTCCTGGTAAGGTTTTTAACGAGGCAGTATGAGATAGCGTAATGCAATCTAGTAGGGGGTGTTCAAATGGTAACCATGGTTATTACCAAACCAAATAAGGCTAAATTTCATTGACCATGGAATACAATATCATAACCAAACCATCCAAACTAATACAACAACCAAATTAACCAAACTAAAGTTTAATCGATTTGGTTAATTGGTTAACCAGATTAACCAATATTAAATTACATTATCATTAATTGAGAAAAATTTCGGTTAATTTATCAATTCACAATTTATATAATGAATAAAACATAACAATTCACACTCGGTTATAGTTGACATTTAACATAAATACAGGCAACTAAGACAATTATCTTACGGTTAGTATAGAAGTATTCACCTAGCAAAATTTTACCACAATGGTATGGGTTAATGAATTGTTGTGTTTGTTTGAATTGACTTTGTCTTTTTAGCAATTTCCATAGGCTGAAAAGTACCTTGCTTTCAAGTTTTCATCCAACATAATCTATGAGCTTTATCTAAATTAGGCATTCATCTGTTGTGGTCTACACTCTATATATACAAATATACATTGAAGTAACAATATCAAGCTTTATATTTTATGAGTCTAAAAGGGATGAACGTTAACTCTTGAGTGGTTATTCAAAATATTAAGTATGTGTATATGTTAGATATATGACTAATTATTTATATGGTTAATTTGGTTTGACTGGTTAGGAGTGTCTGAAATAAAATCAAACCACCTAAACCAAACAAGCTAAAAAATTTATCCAAACCAAACCAATTATCCAAATTAACCAAACCAAATTATCCAAATAGTACTGGTTAAAACAGTTACCATGGTAACCACACCGTTTGAACACCCCTACAATCTAGTTGTCATCCAAGGGGGGTATTATATAAATATTGATATATGGATGACCATTGCCATAACCACATTAGATGCTCACTTGTGAGTTACATGTAACCCCTATTCCTACATTTGATAGCGCCTTTATGTTTCATTATCTCTCATTGATATAAGGATATAGTGGTTACAAAAGTGTGCCTATAAATAGAGCACACCATTTGTATCTAAAGTGAAGAATGAATAAGAAGAACTCTTCCCCTCTCTTCTCTTGTGCATTTCCCTCTCTAATCTTCTCCTGTAGTTGTTTATACTTTCCATTAGTTTCATAACAATTTAGCAAATTTGAACCAACCTCACGAAGCACAAATGCCTCAAACATCCAAGGTAAACGTCAGATAAAATATGTACAATTAGACCCGAATCATCACTCAACCAAGGAAACACTAAGGTGAATTGATTAGATGCCAAATTTCTAGAATATATAAACATTTTAGAGTTAGTAAATGGAAAATTAAATGCTCTTTATTTAAAACCGCTATTTAAACTTCAGAATAGAAAAACAGCAAGCTTTGCAGCTTATACCTGTAGCTTTCAATTTCTGCAGCAGTTTTTAGTTCATATTTGATTGGTTATCAAATCTAATAAGCTTCATGTCACCACGTTTTCACTCATCTATATATCATTTCTCTTTTCATCTATATCAGTTTGTAAGATGTGACATTAACATACACATATAAAAACTGAGACATAAAGTTAAAGCAATGGATTAACAGATTCAGTGGTAAGGTTCTTCTGATTGAACCAATTATTCACAAGTTTTTATCATGATCCTGAACCTTTTGACAGGAAGACCTGCGGCTATCTTGAGTAGAGTGTACATAGTGCAGCAGAACATGAGCCTACAATACAACAGGTGATCACATTATCTCATAGCTCAAATAATGAAAGAATAATCATGCTTTCTCTTAGTAACTATGGCATAGAATAGAAAAGAGAGATATCCTACATGGAATGTTGCTTTCAGGATATAATCCGCCTTAGCTTGATCCTTGAGCAATGCATAGGCTTTGTCCTTTGATGGGTTACATGTTACCATATATCTCTCATTCTGTCAAAACGATATAAGTATATTCATTGATTACTCAAACTATACATTAATTGGAACCAATTAACAAAGTCTAAATTCTGTGCCAAAATCATATTGGAATATCCTCTTCTAGTCGATTTCATCCTAGCAAAGGAAACCTATAGCTTCTTAATACATTACAAATGTGTAAATAAAAAGGAACCCAATTCTTGAAACTATAAGCCCAATCTTAGCAATAACAGAGAGAGAACACATAAGACTGTACTAAATAATGGAAAGAAATATCATTGTAACGCTGCAAGCTTTTGTAAGATCAATCAGACCCACAATTGAGGAGCTGAACAGAGAGAAACCGAACCAAGTAAAAGCGAAAATGAAGACCCACATTCAGTGTGGAGAAACTAAAGCGTATAAGCGAGGAAGAAAAGAAGGGTACCTAGTAAAACTGACGAATTTGGAGGCAAGATCGGGAATTGAAAGGGCTTGCAGCTGCATTAAGAGAAAATGATGGGAATAGCAAGAAGAAGGGTCGTTGATATGAAGAGACTGGGGGGGAAATGTTCTAACTTTAGAATTTAAAATTCTGGAAATTGTGAGTTGAAGGAAAAAGAAGAACAAAAAAACCACATTCACCATTGACGAACTGAGAAGGAATAAAAAGGAATTAAGTAGGGGAACATGGAGAAAGAAACTGCTATTCTGTTTCATAACCATTGCAGCGGGTTAGAGTGAAGTATTCTTGAAGATTACAACCAGGAAAGGAATTGAGCAGCGAAGAACTCGGCGAAGAAAATAAAAACTAGAGGGAACTGATGTCGGCGAAGAACTCGGCGGTAAGGAAAGCAATCATCTATTTAAAGTTGCTGGGGCCGACGTGCACTTTGCTGTAGGAAGGAGAGAGAAATACGGGGAGGATGGTTACAGAAACAGTTGAGGGAAAGAAACCCAATTGACGGAAGATGAAAGAGGAAAGAAAGCCCGTTAAAATGGGCTGCCACGTCAGCCTCCGAAAATCACTCTAAAAGCAAGAAATTTTGAATGATGGTAGCAGTTTTACTTTTCAGCTATAAATGATATTGTTGATTGTTATAATTAATTAGTATTTGAGCATTATCATCCCAATAACTATTTTATTTCGTTCATATTTTTTAATTTTTATGAATTGAATATTATTTAAGAACTTCTATTTTATTATTTAAGTTTTATATTTTGTTAATAATATAATGCAATTATTTTCCAACCTATTTGCACTTCGTTATTTTTTGTTTCCTAACAACAATTTTCATTCACTTATCAGTCAATACAATTTTCATTCACTTATCACTCACTACAATTTTCACCTCAACATGCACTCTAATTTTAATGCCTACATGCCAAACATAGAGTAAATTATGCATGTGGCTGGATAGCTAGTGAATGCAAGGGGGGGTTTACTAGAGCTGCGTTTTCCAGTCGTCAAAGACTTCTTGGATTGAGCTGTCGGGGAAAATGGAGGGGCTTCTTACTGTTAGTGTTGTGGTATATGATTCACGATTGAACTTCTCCTAACAACTCGAGTTATTGGGATCAACTGGTTCTTGACATGGTATCAGAGCCTTCTGTGACCGAGAGGTCTTGTGTTCGATTCCCGGTGACCCCCATTTGTTAAGCACATGGTATTCTTGTCTTCAGACCTGTGCAAACTTCAAGCCCTTGTAAGTGGCTTTCGTTTGAGGGGGCGTGTTAGTGTTGTGGTATATGATCCATGATTGAACCTCTCCCAACAACTCGAGTTATTGGTATCAACTGGTTCTTGACACTTACTGCCCAATCTGGCTCAGTCTGGGAGTTACTGCTCATGTGATTTGTACATACTTTGCACATGTGATTTGTAAATATTTAGCTGACTCTTAATAAATATGAGTTTGATTTTCTTTTCATTGAGTTCATTTTTCCTATCCTTCTCCTTTGATCTTGACTTACGCGGAACAAATCCTAGAGAAAAATTGGAGCGAATTCGAATGGAAATGATAATATCTATCCGTCAGCCAAAAACAGTGGGCTATAATGCTCAAAAACTGTAGTCTTTTCTGTAAGAACCTACTCACAAGGTCTTTTCAAAAAAAAAAAAAAAATTGTATTTTTTTAGAAGTTTTATGAACACACCTCTTAATTATGTTTTCAAACTAACAATATTCAAATTTATATATTTTGGACAAACATTCCCGGAATTTTATTCTTGGAATCTGCAATATCCTTACTTAATATGATAGGGATTCAAAACAAATAGAGTGCCACGTCAGCCCATGGTCAGCTCTCAGCGCCTCCCTCCCACCCATCAACGAATGAATTTTTTTTTCTTTCTCAAATTTAGTACCTTGGTTCGCTTCGCCTCCCTTCTCGGTTAGCTACTTAACTCATTCCATTCTGTTTTCTTCCTTTGTATACCATACCTTCTGTTTTTGCTTTTGTCCAAGAATCTAATATGATATGAGCTGCCGAAATCAAGTAGTTCTTATTTTCTTCCGCTCTTTCTTCCCAAGTACAGTTGTATCTTAGGTTTTTCAATGGCGGCTGCAAGTGGTACTGGATACAGAAAGCAGCCACCAGCTACGGAGGTGTCGACATTTAATCACATTCTCACACCTTGAACCTCTCTATGTTTCTCCAATCCATCCGACCCATTGTACATCCATCCCGGCGTCACGTTGATTAATGAAGGCGACGACGATGAGGAAGCTCTCGAGTTGTCACTGGCAACGGGGACGAAATGAGATGGAAGAATCTTGAGTGTGATGAAATAGGGTTGTAGAGATGGCATACTGGCGTTATGGATTTTTACTGGTGTTGCTCTTGCTGTATACTTAATTAATTTCTGATATGCAGGGGAAGCGTTCTGGTAGAGAAAGGAAAATCCAAGAGGGAAGACAAATTAGTGTTAGTGTTGATTGAGTCTAGCAAGTGAGTTAGGTCTCAATTCACTGATTGAAGCCACTATAGAGGACTACATTGGAAACCTGGATTTCTTATACAAGAACAGAAATAGAACGAAGTTGAAGGCAAGGAAATGAAAACAAAGCTTGATCGAAAAACACACAGCTGTACAATGGAATTGTGTTTATGGGTTTTGTGAACTTATTTGGTTACTGGACTTTCATTTACTCGATTAAGCTTAGAAGGGCTGAACGTGATTAAGCTTATTTGGTTACTGGATACCCGAGGCTATGAGTTTGATTGCCATCCCTAACGACAATTGATTGTCATCTAAGAATAGCACCGTGTTGCCATTATGGTTAAGGAATTTTGTTTTAATACATTTTCCACAACACAACCCAAGATTCATATTGCCAATTACCAACCACCTCCTATTAAGATTTAAGGACACTAAATCATACTTGATGAAGTTTTTTTAATAAACCGGCTTGATAAAGTTGAGATACATATATTTAATTGAATTTTTGGCACAATTCTCTGTATTATTATGCTAAACAAAACAATATATGTTATTACAAATATATTCTGCATGAATGTATGCAAAATAAATATGAGGCACCTCAGAAAAATAACATGAATTTATAAATGTCGCTCAAGTAAATATATCCTGTGAACTAATAGTCGTATTTGTGGTTGATTTTGCTAAAACATTTTCAAAATAGACACAATAAGTAAGAGGAAGATTCATGATGTAGATAAAAATATAGTTCCTTGCTCTTTCAAAATTGCACAATGTTTGTGGGATATAGATCGTGATATTTTCTACTATCCTATACTAACATATCAACATTTGAGGAATCATATTATATTTAAAGAAGATGGTTGTACCCGTATTTTGATACTTCACATGTAATTTAACTTAACTTAATTTAGCATCTTATTTAGTGTCCTTTAAATCTATTAACAACTTGGTCAGGATTTGTGATGTTAATTAATTAATCTCTCATGTGATTTAAACAATACATCATAATTTTAACTATAAATACTTAAATCTTAAACGTATGGTTCTATGTAAAATTCTAAGTAAATAAAAAAAATATCTACAAAGAGCTAATCAAATCAAATTAAGTTCTTCGTCAACAAATGAAAAATTCAAAAGTGTGAAACAGTAGCAAAAACGATCCAAGTGAGATTAACAATTTAATGTACGTAAAAATAACATGTACAATCCATGAAAAATGTAGAAACAAAAGTTAATGATAATGTCTCTCATATTTAACGTGTCATTACAGAAATAAGCTATACATCATGTTTCTACACATATGCTAATAGTAAACATCTTTATATCGTCAGTTCAAACAAAATAGACATATAATGCGAAAGAAAAAAACAGTATTACATAAACCAAAAACTAATAAAAAAGAAGATTGTAAAACAACGCAAAATAAACCAACTAAACAAAATGCGCGGGTAAAAAACTAGTTCACATAAATAGAGTTTGAATGTTTACACAACTGAATATATGAATGATTTTTTTTTTTTTTTGACAATAAGAATATATGAATGATTGATACATAGGTGCATTCATGCGTATTGCGTGAATATTTGAAATATGTTATATAACCTCAATATACTTTTCTCTCCTAAAAGGTTTTGAAAAAGAATTAATATATATAAACGTGAAGTAAGGTTACTGTTACCAAAAGAAGTACATTTTGATAATCCAAATTTAATAAAATTACAACTTAATCACTATACTGTATATTTTACATTTTGATACCTCAAATTTAATTTTAATGTAAAATCATTGAGCAATTATGTTTTAGTATCTAAACTTTATGAGATTTTCGTACCAACAATTTTTAAAATTTACATATTGGTCCAATGTTTATATTTCACTTGAATCCATAAATCCAATCCACCAATCCATGAATCCAATCCACCATAACATAAAAGTATAAATTTAGTTTGTACCATACAAGATGTTGTATCACTCAACTGTAGAAAAAGATTCGACCATTTTGGTCTTTGATGAGATTTTTACTTCAAAAAAAACATGTATGATATCCATTTGAAAAAATAATAATTATTTTTTAAAAGAACATTCTATTCGGTGATGTGACAACATATTTAGTAAAATATAACACGAGTACATTAAGATATTGATCTGTATGAAGTATTTGTATGACATTTTAATAGAACAATGTTTAAAAAAATCAACAGTAATAAAAAAAGTTAAAAGTTAATATAAGTATAAAAATGACCCAACCTTTCCATCATCTATTTCCTCTTCATTTCATTTTTCACTCGCCTTCCATAACCCTTTCTTTATTTCTTTCTTTACCTTCTTCGTCTAACCCTAATTAGTATACTATTTTTATGTATTCTAATCACAAGTATGAACTATTCCATACACGACTCACCAACACTCCAGAGAATTAATAATTGAACCATGAACTTTTTCAGCTCAATGTCGAGTCCAATTAAAATTAAAGATATATGATTATTACTTATTAAAAACTCATCATTTTCCACTATGAGATTTGAAGGCGTGAAATTTTAAGCGATTTTCCGTTTGTATTCATTTTGCTTCTCTATAGAGTTTTTCTTTTTCACCCGGTCTAGATTTTCAACAATTATATGTTTGGCTAGGTACCTACACATATCAAATAAATAATTTCATTTTTCTATAAAAAAGTAAATAATTATCATCTTAAATACATCACCATTAAAGGAATTAAGCCTCAACTGTGCAAATTATAGTTCGGTACCTAAACTTAATAGATCTTAGATTTATAGCCTAAATGTTTTTTAGCATTACAAGTCCTCAAAAATCAAAATATTGATGGAACAATACATTTTAGTACCTAATTTTTTTTGTACTACATTTTGGTACCTAAATTTTGAAGTTCTACAAATAGTTCTAATTTTTGTATGTGTAATTAAAACTACTTCGAATAAATTCATACACATTTAGATTATGGGTATCCAAACCCAACTCATACACCCTTAAAGATTTTGATTTTGGATTTCAAGAATTTAACTGATTTTATTTTTATTTTCATACTAATAATTTGGTTAACCAAACCAAATCGACATCCCTAATTATACTTGACATGAGCAAAGATATGAGTGATAAATATTATTTTTGACAAAAATCTGCACTAGGCTTTATTAATTATGAGAAGCCGTTATAGAGTCAAGCTCCAGTTGATTAAGTAAACTCATAGGAGGTCGGCCTTGTTTGTTATGTAAAAGAGAAGTTATGAGTAGAGTGCCCAAGCCCAAATTGAGCCAAAAGAAAGAAGGCAGAGTTGGAACAGAACTGCAAAATATCTGCTATCAGCTGGGTGGCGTCGTAATATCTATTTCCGCATTCCCCTGTGAACTAATTCTATTCAAGATGTAGTGCCTTTAATGTTACAATTTACCAATAGTTTCAAAGGACAAAGTCCGAATAACTGAAAAAATCAAGGCTTTGCCCGTAAAATTACAGGCACCATGCTCGAGCGTAATAGGTCCTTACATGAACCAGTATCATATAATATCTCATGATGGTTCTCTGGTGAGCACCTGAGTTCCACTCTTAGACAGTAATAGGTCCTTCATTTCCCTGTAACTCCTCAGCTCTTCCAAGGCATCAGACGTTCTTCGAGGTACAAAGAACCCAGAAGCAGTAGTAGCAATCCCATCATTATCTACTTCGGCTCTCAAGGAACGGCATGAGAAACAGCTGGAATCTTGGTGCAGTGGAGGTGCAGTCCTCAACATGTGAACAAGGACACCGACTGCTGCATCTTGTGATTTCCTACCGATTGATGTAGATTCCAGGTTTCTTTTCCCATCAAAGTTCTGACTGAAACAATCAATAATGGCATACTTAGCAAAGCTTAATAAACTGGTTAGAAGGAGGATAATCTCTGAGAGTACAAACAGAAACATCGATTGTTGGAGAGAGAAGTAGCGCTTAATCCAGTGTTAAGTTTGCTCAATGGTAACTGTCAAGTCAAGAAGCTGAGTTGCTAAAGCAACTCTAAAGAGTCGATGTCAGCTGCATAAATATGCCATCCCAAACATGGAAGCAAAGCTCCATACTCTAGGACTCTCTTATCTATCAACAATAAAAGGATACAAAAATTGCTGAACTTCTATAACTCATCAAAGTTCCCCTAACATACTGAATTAATTTCCGCACCTCAATCATTTTGGTGCACCTCAATTCATCATATTAGGATTTCAATAATTTGTGTTTCCTGTCCTAGTTCAATGCATCATTGACAATTTTTGCTAGTTCGTGGTTACCAATTTCGCCATCACTCAATAGAGCAGATAAGAAGGTGATGGTTTCAATATCTTCAATGCTGTACAAGATTGCAGAACACACTAGAACATGCTTAAGATGGACCAGTATAGTAGAGAACTTTGCACTATAGTATCTGTATAGAAATTGGTGATAAGGCACACCCAAAAGCACAAAGAGCATAGAGTAATTTCCAACGTCTCAAGTATCTTCAATGGATCCACATCAAAGGTACCCCTTGTATGGATAATAAAGGTAGATATTCAGACAACAGATTGGTACATTTTTTCCTTGAAAATAAAATAATTTCATGCAAACATTATCATGCCATAAATGAGCAACAGCTCATAAACTGAAGTACCTGATTCGTGAGTCTGGTGAGTCAACATCATCCGCATCAAAAGGACACGAAAAGTCACAATCATCTATATCATCCTGGAAAGATAATTTACTAGAACTCCTAGAAAATCCAACACGTGGAGAGTCGCTGGAAGATAATGGTCCAGAAAACCGTCCTGAATCATCTCTGCTATCTTTGAGCACCTACAAGTTATTAGATTCAAGCTAATAAATATAAATAAAAAGAAACTGACAAGTATATTGTAATCAGTACATCAGGAGGAAGAGCCACAAGATAAACAAAGGCTACCTTCTGACCAACAGAGCCCAAATCGCCAGCCCTTGAAGCTTCCGATTTCTTAATTAACCTCATCCCAGATAGGGATTCATTTGATGAATGATCAAGCCGTGTGCTTCTGGGAGATAAAGGAGGAAGGGAAAGTTTACTCGGATCAGAAAAGTTGGGAGAGATGTATCTAGCATTTCTGCTTGTCATTGAGGATGGAATAGTCACAGGGGCAGTTTCACAACTTGCACGAGTTTGCCTAGGACTATCACTGTTTCTTAAGTATGTTGGAGTAGAAGGGGAGACAGATAGTGAAAAGGGAGGAGAAAGCTGACATTCATCATATAAGAGAGCCCTTTGATGCAATGGTCGTCTATGGTTTTGGATCCTTTCCAAGGGTGGAGATGGTGAATCATATGACATTTGGGATGTGCAGTGCACTGGTGGCGACCCAGCAAGATGACGGTTGACAACCGGTTTATGGAAACCACTTGTCCAGCTATGCGGTCGTTGAGAAGGTACTGAAGTAGGAGCGTGCATTACTTCAGAGGGGAAAGATATGGCACGATCTCCTTTGTATGAAGAGGGAAAGTACCTAAGAGGGTCAGTGGCAGGGCTACCAACATAATCGGATATGATTTTGGGAAGCATTGTGGTCAACGACTGAAGGTTAAAGTCGGACAATTGTGGGCGATAAGTTACCGATACATGTAGCCTGCCAGGAAAGGCTTCAATAGGAACAAACCGATATTCCTTCATCATTTCCTCCTCCGCCCTAGAGAATGGTTCGGAGAAAGATGAAACCTTGTAAATGATATCAAAGTTAAGAGATTGGCTAGAGGAGCTAAGCTGTCTAAAGATTCGGTATGCTGGAAGAAGCCTTGTTTGCAAGTATAGGGAACGTAAGAATATGATTGACTTCTTATATGTCTTCTTATAAGAGGCAGCACAACCCTCACCAGGTTGGGAAGCAGTAACTCTGGGAGGTGACTCAAACTGAACGAACCACCTCTCTATGACCGTCTCTGTAGCTGTTCTTCCTGATGAACCAGAGAGCACATTGTTCACAGATGAGACTGGTGTCCGTTGCTGAACAAGTATAATGTCAATGATCATTGGATCCATCAAATTCCTATGCCAGAAGTTCAAGTTATCTAGTGCAGCTGGGCGATCCCCAAGTACCAGATTGAACCATTTGTCACTCTTCCTGACCCGAGAATCACAAGTCCTTTCACACGGAAGAATAGATGGGATCCGAGAGTCCAGTATAATGTGCAAGCTCTTCAAAAGGAATTGTGAGACCACCTGTTCCAGCTTTCCGGAGTCGGAATGAGGAGTCATGCCGTGTAAATCCATGGTGGTTGATATGCAAAGGCAGCAAGCAGTAGCAGCTGCTATGTTTGTATCAATCTTTAGCAGCTAGAAACCAATAACAAACTATGAATCTCATGAGGAACTAGGCATCCCAGCAGTCGACTTTGAGATGAAAATTACTCTCGTTTCCTCAATCGATCCTAGTATGAGAGCCATAGATGGCGGTGGGAAGGTATGAAGCGCTTAAGCCCTAAACAGCAACACAGATTACTTATGGGAGAAAGGCAGATTTTGATTTCCTGAACAAACCCACCAAAATGAAATATATGGGAGAAGAAATGTTGCATAGACATGTAAACCAACCTCGAGATAGATCTGCCATTAATTGAGAGGAATCCCAAGTAGACGAGAGTAGACCGATCAACCAAACGTCCTCGCTTCAACTGTAGTCAACAAGCGATGAAGATAAAACGGCACCTGATGAATTAAAACAAGGGAAGATCCAAAAAACAGAAGATACATTAAATTGTGGAACCCAGCCCAGCTTTCTAATTCCACAAGAAACACAACCGAGAGGTTGCGTAGACCAGTGCAGAAGAAGAGTCCCAGAAAAATGATTACATTCAGGTGAAAGAAGTAATAGGATATTTATAACAAAGAACTTAATAATGAAAAGGTTGAGCACGAGGGGAATTCGATGATGGTATAGGATTTTAACAATGGCGAAATCGAGTAAGTTACCTGCTTTACTCAGTGGAGGAACTGGGTGATACTTTGAAATGGAAGAGGAAGAAGAGCAGAGCGATCATACGTGCCGCGGCAATTGCCACTGCTGCCTCAACTCTCTCCTCTCCTCGGGAGCCTTCATTAGCGAAAGGGCGGGCTAATATCATAAGACTGGACGGGATACGGTGACACACTGAAGGGAGTTGTCAGATTCACAACTCATTTCATAGTTGTTGAATACGCTCTCTCCAGGTTTTTTTTTTTAATTAATTGTTAAGATTAAAGAAAGGATATTTTTGAAAAGTTAAAAATTTACCACATTCAATCATTCACCTATCATATAAAAAGAAAAAAACCCTAACTCCTCCATCCTCCCTCTCTAGGGATGGCAAAAATATCCGTAACCGTGGATATCCGCCCGAATCCGGCCTAATCGGGTAGGGTAAAACCCGAACCCGAATGACATTTAGTGGGTACGGGTAAAATCCGAACCCGAATATTGCGGGTAATGGGTGGGCATGGGTTTCTCACTATCCAACTCGAACCCGCCCGATTATACACATGCATATGTATTTTGTCTAGAAATAATCAATATTTTTCTCTAACATATTTTATATTTAGCATATGAATATAATATTTTCATGAAATTGTGTGGTTTTAATTAATTTTCTTCATCCTAATGAATTATTGTCGTACTTTTCCTCTTACGTAATGTGACAATACATATGAATGTTAACATATTGGTTGAAGTTATGAAGAGAAATTATTACCCATGGATAACCGTGGATACCCGAAACCCGAACGGGTATGGGCATGGTTTTGATTTTCTACCCATTTCACATGTGGGTATGGGTATGGGTAAAACCCGAACTACTATGGGTAGGGTAACGGATATGCACTATCCGCGCCCAACCCGACCCATTGCCATCCCTATCCCTCTCTCCTCCCTCTCTCCCATATCCATCACCGTCTCTCCTCCCTCTCTCTCATAGAGCCCTCCGCCGCCACAGCTCTCCACCGCCAGCGTCGGCGCCCCTGTCTCCTGCAGCCGCCTGTCGAGCCTTCCACCGTCGGATCCCTCTCGCCGCCCTTCGTCCCCCACCACTGCCGCCGTCGCGAGGTCACCCTCTTCCCCTACCTCTCTCTCCTGTCACCGACTCCCCTTTTCTAGTTCTGGTTTTTTAGTGGTACCATTTTTCTTCTGGTAGCGTACCAGTGATAATGGTACCTACCACTCCCATAAGGTAGCTGGTAGTGGTAGCGTACCACTATCATCTGGTACCACTATCATCTGTTTTTTTGTGTTATTCTCTACTGGTACCGCTACCAATGCTAGTGGTAGCGCTACCAGTGCTAATGGTACGACACAATATGATAGTGGTAGCGATATACTGGTAACGTACCACTAGTAGTGGTACATTTTTAACGCACTGGTAGCGTACCACTAGCACTGGTATATTAATTACCAGTAGACTAATGGACTGGTACATTTTTCCAGGTTGCCGGAGGGAGTCTGCCGGAGAGAATTCGCCGGAGAAAAAGCCTGTCCGTCGCACCGCCGAGGCCTGGCGCTTGTTCCGCCCCTTCCTTTTTTTTTAAATTGTTTTTCATTAAGTGTTTAATTAATGATGGTTATATAATTAATAAGTGAAGGTTTGTGAATTATGTTTGTATTAACTAAGTGAAGGTTGTCTATTTAATTTGTATTAGGAGGAGATGAGAGTGGAGGAGGAGATGAAAATGGAGGAGGAGATTACGGGAATTACTGTTCCATTCTGGGCGATTATTGACATGTTATGTGTTTCATCTTTATCATTTCAAGTGTTGTGTGTTATTTTTAAGCTTTATCATTAGCAAGTGTTGAGTGTAACCTCTAAGTTGTATCATTTAAATTATTATGTGAACTCCTTTAGCTTTATCATTTCCAAGTGTTGTGTGTAAACCAAAATTAGGTCCATAATTTTTTCTCCAAAAAGATTCGGTCTCGAAATTTGAAAAAATTCTATTGAAAAATTTGTATCTTAAAATGATGACGAACTCTACAAAAATTAACATTAACGAATTATATTAAGGCTTCAATAAGTACATTTTTAAGTAAATGTAAACATGGATAAAATGGAGATCCCCAAATTTGAGGTTGGTAGCATTGGAGCCAAATTGTAAAAAATGGGGGCAATCCCCAAATTTGGGGATGAAGGTCCCCAAATTTGGGGTCTTGCATTGGAGTTGGTCTACGGGCTCCATTAGTCAAATAGGGGTTGTTTGCTTCATGGATTTGAAAATGAAGATTTTCTAATTTAAAAACTCAAGGATTTGTTAGGGATTTGTTGCTTACGGATTTGGAAAAAGTTCATTGTTTGCTTAGTTGATTTGATCATGGATTTATGGGTTATGGATTTATATCTTGGGTTAATATTTTCGTATGGCCTGAACTTTGACCAAAATAAACATCCTGGCCAATCTTTTCGATCTATATAATCCTGGCCCGAACTATACATAAAAAAAAACAATTTGGCCAGATCCGACTTTTGACCGTTAACTTGGACGGTCAAACGGGTTGACCATTAGTCAACACGCCATGTCACTGCCAAGTCAACTTAAAATATTTAAAATCATTCACAATTTCCACACATTCCCTAATTTTAAATTATTATAAATTAAAAAAATCATCTAATACCTTAGTTAAACCAAAAATAAAAAACGAAAAACATTAAATATGTATCAGATCTTCTGACGTGGCAGTGACGTGGCATGTTGACCGTTAGTCAACCGTTTGACCGTCCAAGTTAACCGTCAAACATCGGGTTTGACCAAATTATTTATTTTAGTGTATAGTTCGGGCCAAGATGTTATAGATCGAAAAGATTGGCCAGGATGTTTATTTTAGTCAAAGTTCAGGCCATACGAAAATATTAACCCTTATATCTTTAAGATGTATATTACCTTACTACCCTTCTTCATGTTAGATTTATATAACTTTACTTGTGTTTCTAATTTTAATCTTGTGGTCATATTGTTAATTTGTGCTTTTAAATTGACATTTTATAGCAAGCTCGTAAAATTAGTAGCCACGAGATATTAAAATGTGTAGATAATCACAATATATAGTTGTAATCTTACAATTCTTGGCTAAAATTTGTTTGTTAGAATTACTATTTTAACAACAAATGTAGTTTGTAGCAAAAGGGTATTACTTGCCATCCAAATCAAAATTTGAATCAAAATAATCATACGTTTGTGGCAAAATAAGTGTGTGACAAAGACCTTCACAAATAGCCATGAGAAATAAATCATGTAGTCATTAGCATGTTATTAGCTTATGACATAGATTATGTAGTCATTAGCATGTTATTAGCTACAATATTACTTTTCATGGCTAAGTTTGTAGCTATAAGAGGCAATCGTAGTAGTGCAAAGAAGGTTTAATTCACCTACATAGCCATAACTTTCACGATTTTGACAAATATAGCCACTTTTTAAAAAATACACAGATATAACCATTCCGTCCAAGAGTTTAACGACACTATCATGACTGCCGACTGGACAAATGATTGTTGGTGACGTGGTGATTTTTCATTGACGTGGCAATGCCAAGTGGAATATATTTTAAATTTCATTAATTAAAAAAAAACCAAAAAGCTACTTTACCCTTTCACCTACCTGCCCTCCTATCCTCTCCTTCCGTCAAACCTCACACCCATCCATCTTCTTCCCCTTCTTCTTCTTGTGCTGCCGCTTCTCCGCCATTAAAAGGGCACCCATCAATTTAAACTTCCCCACATAATTTTCAAACGTTAAAATCCTCGTATCCCTACTAATTTTGAAATCCCTAGCCCAAAAACTCAATTGGAAATCTGCAAACCTCAATGACTGCAGCCTCTTCACTTCCTCCATGGACCCGGAAACGAAGGAGTATGACCAGACCACCTGCCGGAACAGCTGCCAGATCTTCCACACAGCAGCAACGGCAGCCAGAACCATGACAAATAGCCAGGCCGCCATTGTTGTTGTTGCTGATTAACGAAGGATTTTGATTGTATGGTCAGCAGGAAGCACTGTGGTTTTTGTTTCTGTATCTTTTTGGTTGCAGGCTTTTTGGAGCATGTGTGGTGCGCTTTCGGGTGTGTTGGTGGAATGATCTGGTTTTTGTTTTTACATATGTATGAGTGAATGTGTGATGGATGCACCGCCCGTGTCACGACGGAATAGAGTAATTGATGGGGAAAGAGAGGGTTTTGAAGGGAGGAGTCACAAATCTGGATCTGGTGAAGAAGGTGAAAGATGTATGAACCCTTTCCCTTGTTTCCTCCTCGAAGCGCCGGCCTTGCCCTATTTTGCCGGTCGGGTCATCCACTTTGCCGATGAGAAGTTTGAACTTCTTCCGCCTCTCAATCTTTGTTTCATTCTTCCAAACGCCTTTTGATTGCTTGCTTGCTTTAATTACTAGGATTGAGGGGGACTGATCGATTAGGGAAAGGAAGGAAACCAAACGACTGAGAAGAAGAAGCCCACGGCCGCGACCCTCTGTTTTTTCCCTATCTATTTCAAGGAAAGTCACTATACTTGAATGGAAAGGTGGCTCTGCAAATTGGGGAAGACTGCTGGGAGGTGGGATGCTAGAAAATAAGTGAGGATGGGAATGAAAACGATGACAATGGAGAGAGAGAGAGTTAAATAATTTTAATATTAATTTTTTTATTATCTGATGTGGCGTCCACGTGGCTAAGTCCATCCGGTTGGCAATGACGTGTCATCCATTTTGCGGACAGATCAGCAAAACGTCCACTTAACTGACGGAGACGTTAACTCCATCAAATGTTTTCAGGGAAATGGCTACATAAGTCAAAGATGTTTGAAAAGTGTGGCTACATCTGTGTATTATTCAAAAAGTGGCTATATTTGTCAAAACCGTGAAAGTTATGGCTATGCGGATGAATTAAACCTGCAAAGAATAACTAATGACGAGTAAAGTTGGAATAAATAAATTATAAAGGGATATACAAGTAATTTTTCATGAAGGATTTGTTTCCTTCTTCAAATCCAAAGTAAATAGGTGGGATTTACAAATTCGTGAGGCCCACGGATTTGGAGACCCAAATCAGTGGACCCCCACAAATTTTGTACCCTCCATTTTGGCTCAACAAACAATGACTTTTGGACAAATCCTTCATGTGTTGGATTTAAGAACCAAATCTCACATCCAAATCCATGAAGCAAACGCCCCTAAGTAAGTGAATCTCAGTGCACCTCATTAAAATTCAATGGCTCAAATTAATCTAATTTAATGAATGACATGCTAGTAATTATACAATTTATTTACTTGTAAATTAAAATAAAAAATATATGGCCTGGCGTCTATTTACTTGGACTTCTCCTCGCACCGTTGGCTGCGGCAGGGGTTTTCGGCGTTTTCGGCGTTCCTTAGAGAGAGAGAGAGAGAGAGAGAGAGAGAGAGAGAGAGAGAGAGAGAGTCGGCGGTGGCGGGATTATCCGATGATAGGGTTTTCCGGCGACAATGCCATTTTGTTGTGTTTGTCGGACTATTTTGTAATGTTTGTAAGTCTGGTTTGTAATTTTGTATCAAGTCGCTTTGTCATTTTTATCTATCATCTTTGTAATGTTTATATGACCATTTGGTATATATTGTAATTTGTAACGTTTGTATACTTTGTATTTATTGATTTGTAATACCAGTTTATTGTTTTGTATCGTAAGTAGTGACATTTTGTACTGTTAGTAGTTTTGTAATGTTTGTCAGTCTAGTTTGTATATTTCGTATTATTTGTAAACCTGTTTGTATGTTTTGCCGCTCTAGTTTGTACTGTTCATATGGTTTGTACTGTTTGTAAGTCCGGTTTGTATACTTCGTAATTTTCCATAATACCCAAACTACCCCTATTATAGATTAAAAAGACCTTCCCACTTTTTAACCGTCAAATTAGTGTGTCCAAATCTAAGGGCCGGGAGGGGCTTAGTCAAGTGACTAAGAACCCTAGTCACCAGATCCTCTCTCACAAAAGGGCTGTTAATACTTGGATTTTTTCCCCTAAGTAGATTAGTTTGTAAAAAAATTCACAAAAACAACCGTTTTTATAAAAATTCCCGAAATTACACATGTTTTCTATAAATCGCTGTCGACGCAAGCGATCTATAGCAAGATCACTGAAGAATAAGGCGATCAACATTGAATCACTTCTAAGGACATCGATGAAATGTAAATCGTTGGAAAGTAAGGCGATCATACATTACGTTACAATAAATCGTTGGTGTAAACCGCGATCAAGTAAATTGCCAAGATCAAAGCCGATCAAGTATAAATCGATGTCCTCTGACGCGATTATATTTGAACACGAGTTTAGGGTTGGTGCAGGTGGTATACCGGTTTTCCATTGATCACTTTTTACACAAGCGATCATATTAAATCGTTGTTCATTGAAGCGATCAATATTCATACGAGGCTAGAGTTAGGTGCAGCGACCGAAGCATGATTGCCTTTGTAGAAAGCGATCTTGCCTTTATTGCTTTTGTTAAAGGAGATCTTGGCTAAACAACCTCAACTATAAATATACGAACCAAACACCCAATTTCAGACTCATTTCCCCTCTTATTCACCCTCGTTGCAGAAACTTCCCCCTTATCCACCATACCTGCAATAAATCTCATGACCACACAAGAACTTCATTCACTCATTCTGATGATAAGGTACGCATGAAATTGATTAGTATGGTCATGTTGAAGTAGTTGTGTGTTTGTGCTTCACTAATTATGCATGAATGATATTCAACTTCATAGATTAACTAAACACTAGAACATACATTAAAGTATGTTGAAACAACACACAACCCACTACTAACACGTAGCTTAGCGTTGGAAAATTAAAGACATAACATGGACACCTAGCACTAAAATAAACAACACATAACTACAAGTTATTCTCATTGCCCTTGTTCTCCTCCTTGTTCCCCTCCTCCTCCTTGTCTTTTTCCTCGTCCCCTTTTGGTCTCTTCCTTGCTCTTCTTCTTGATGGGGCCTTGGGTTCCTCTTAACTTGAACTGCCACCAGAGTTACCATGGGAGGTGGTGACGGATGTGCATGTGGTGCACCATAAGGTGTAGGAGTGGGGACGAGTGGGGGTGGATGAAATGGCTCTTGCGGAGTTTGATATTGTTGGTAAACTCGTGGAAACCCTTGAGGGTACATGTCGCCTTGTTGTGAAGGACCGCTGCTAGAAGATGCTCCAGCCGGGTCGGTTGGATTGGGGAACTGGAACTCCAGTGGTCAGGAAGGCAATACTGATCAGTCGGTGGACCACGACAAGAGGAGGCTCAGCTCGACATTTGCTCTTCCGCGGAGGCTCAGATTGGGGGGAGAGGGGGGGGGGGGTGGAAGTCACCATCACGAGGGATCATCATTTCCCTTTTAGGAAAATGGATGGGGTGTGTCTCAGGATGCCACATTTCAGATATGGTCGTGAGTAGCTCGTTGTCAATCTCCATCATCATGAAGTGTCTCACCTTTTCCAACCCCACCCTTTCTAGATAGGGCGCGAGTTGGGAGTGAAACGGGGGCAAACGGCCAGTCCCTCTATGGACGACGGGAACAAGTGATTATGATGGGGGAAAAATGCACAAAGTAATTATATATCAGCATTTTAAAATAATTAAAAAAACATGATTTTGAAGGTAAGACATGCCTACCGGGTTGTTGTTCCAAATCGCATTGGACTGATGATTTCTTGATCAGTTGAATATTGGGCATCCCTCGCGCCAGGTTGGATATACAATCTAGGATCGTAAATATCTGCTACTATCTATCATTAAATACAAGAAAATAACACTATTTGATTTGTAATAAATCATGAAAATACAAAACAACGTCTAATCATGGTCATTCTACAAAGACATTGGTCTTATAGCATTCCTCCATGATTCATGTTGGTAAATACAAAAAATATAAAATTTATCACATACCCTAAGAGTATATTCGCCCATTTTTGGCAAAAGCCGGACAGAGGATCTACTGGGTTTTTAGTGGGACAGCGGGTCTTTAGCGGGACAAGGCTTTTTCGGAACTCAAGAAACAGGGTCTTATGTGGAAGATCGGACTTGGACGCAACCCCAGAGCATACCTATATTTCTTGAGTGATATGGGCGAGGGAGGGAGGAAGAATGTGTAGTGATGTAAATGAAATGTGGAGGAGGGGTTGCCTTTTATATGTTGGGGGAGAGTCTAAATCGTGTCTATCAGACACGATGAAGGAGCGCCAAGAGGAGAGATAGCACATTAATCGTGGTTATCGAAAGTGATCAATATTTGATCGCGTGACAGCTCCGCAATCCGCGTCAACCCCGACCAAAACCGTCTTCCACGTCAGAGATCTGTGTTTCTTTTAAAAGCCACTCGTGTTGCTCGGACGCGATCTGTGTTTCTTTTAATATCCACTCGCATTGCTCGGACGTGATCTGTGTTTCTTTTAATAGCCACTCGCGTTGCTCGGATGCAATTAACAATGATCGCGGATTCCAACCGCGATCCAACGGCTCATCGCTCGCCAACTCAGAGATCCGTTGTGATTGCTTTCTTCGAAAAAAAATCTTACCTACATCGCGTCTGACAGATGCGATTTATATGCTAATCACTTTTGTTAACAGTGATATGGTGAAAACATGTGTAGTTTAGGAATTTTTATAAAAACTTATATTTTGGGAATTTTTTTAATAACATGTGTGTTTGGGGAAACAATCTGTTAATACTTAATACCAAGGTTGTCAAACCGGATGAAGTCATCAAGCTAGTTAGGCTAGGGGTTCGAGATTCAATGGTCGGATCGAGGTCCATTCGGTTTAACTCGGTTTTGGCAGGATATGTAGGTAGTGGATATTGGTTAAACCCTATCCGCCGCCGGCGAGCTCTTTCTTTGGTCCTCTTTCGATGGGACCTAAAAACCTATGAATGACAACAAGATCGATCAGATTCGATATAAAAATAGAAAAAAAAAACACTAACAAATAAGACTTACCATCGACAGAGTGACCTCATAGGCACCTCTCCTTCTCATTTCCCTTTTGAGATCAGATCCCCCTCCCAGATTCGACCAAAATCGATTAGAATTATGAGACAGAAATAAAAAGAAGGAGAGTCTTGACCTAATGCTCTAGGTACCTAGTTATTACATGATCATTGAGCTAGCTTAGATACCAAGAAGTGTGGTTGCGTGACATGATCACTGCAACAATCACTAGCCTAAGTGATTCCTCACAACATAGAGGATAGGAAAGTGTCATTATCTTGCATTTATCCATGTCAATCTATAACTAGAGGGATTCGGCCAAAGCAACAACCATTCTCTAGCAATCTCCCTTGTACTTAGTTTTGTTTCATTCTTTGTTTAGCTAGTTTAGTCCACACTCAAACCTCAACCATCTCGTTTGGCTAGTAGTAGACCTAGAGAGATCTAGGAATACAACCTTGATCACCGTTATACTACTTCGTTGATCTATGATGCACTTGTCTAGATTGGGGTAGTTGGTAACATAGACAACTAATTTTATAACTCTCATCACTACCGTAAATGGGATGTTGACATAAACTTGTTTCAAGAGATCAAAGAATTGCATCTTCTCCCGAAGGTGATTTGTGTTTGTTTGACTTTTGTTTTTGTGTGTTTGTAGGTACCAAAAAATGAAACCTTATGACTTTAACCAAGTCTGGAGTATTAACCATCTCTCAAATGGTGTTACACTATGACTCCAAAAAGAAATGAAGTCTTAGGATCTTGGTTTCAACAACAAATTTCTCTCAATGGACATCGACAATACCCCCATGGCTATCGAGTTCCCCCACTGGTTTATCAAGAACAACTTCCACAATCTTAGGAGATATTCGAGGCGGAGCTTGCTTTAGAGAGAATGAAGATATCAACCAATTCCTTTGAGAAGAATTACTTTCCATTACTTTGCAAGCTGAAGAACCAATTTTAGCTCTCGTTAGAGTGATTCATCACCAAGAGTAAAAGGATTATTCATCCTCCACAACCACCAAAGTCCAGAGTAAAAGGATTATTCATCCTCCACAACCACCAAAGTCCAATGGCACACGAAGTGTTCGAAAAAATGCATGAGTTTGATGCCATTTTGACAGATTTTTTTTATGTGATTCCGTGGATGATTTAGCGTGCTCTTACCTTCCATGTGTGGTCTAAGTTGCCTACTTTCATTTCCATGGTTTCATTTGGCCCCTATGTTACTCATTTGTGATCTTTCATGCTTGTTTACATCTTGTGCAACCATACCCACCATATTTTGTGCTTAAGTGTGGGAGAGGTTCTTACCTCCTTCAGAACTTCAATTCTAACCATTTCACGTTATATGGTGCATCTTTTCTTTATATTTTTTAGGCAATGAAGGACCACCAACATCCCTATTTTGCAGTGTTATTAAAGCCGAGCCGCTCGGCCCGACCGGTAAAACCGCCACCGTGTCACAAAACCGGCTCGGAACAGTCTAAAAGCCGCTCCGGTTTTATGTAGCGGTTGGCGAGCGGCCGAGGCGGTTAACCGTTCGTGCCGATCGAGCCGCTTGTCTGGTTTTTGCCCTTCAGCCACTAAATTTGATTAAAAAAATTGTAGAAAATTGAAAATTGAAATAAACCAAAAACGTCGGGCTTTCAAATTGAATCCTTATTTCCATTTCACAATTTCGAAGGAAAGAGATGAGCTCTGATTAAGAAATGTCCACTATTTATAGTGATAACGTTTATTAGATACCGGTTCTCTAACGGTTTTTAAACGGTCTAATGTCGGTTGGACCGCTAAAGTGCGAGCCGTTTGCATTATCGGGTCATGCTCCGGTTCGGTTCTGACAACATTGCTATTTTGTCTCCGTTATGATCCGAATATTGGAGACTTGTATCAGGCATGGAGGCACGCCTCTTTTGGTCCCCCACTAGAGGCTAACCTAGATTACTTAAGGACTCTCCACTATCCGGTGGAGATTAGTGTCGTTGTCGTTGACACTGCTTGAAGGGAGCTCCTAGGCTTGGCCGACCACATCTATCGAGAGCTCAAGGTGGAGGTTCAAGCATGAGATGAAGACGTCCGCCCATGCTCCAAGAGCTGTCACCTATTGGCTAGGTGAGGTTCGATGATCCGTTTCCTATGAGCAGCTCGCTTGTGCCTTGGGTCTCTACACATAGCACATGTGGTGAATTGGTGATGATTTAGTGTCTTTTGTAGGAAAATAGTTGCAGAGGAAAAACTAAAATGTAGAGGCACACAGAATATGCAGAGGAGTATACAAAAAAATGAGTCAACCGAGAATCCAGCAATCCACCCAAACCAACTAATTTGGGTTGAGTTCATTAACCCAATCAGATAGTAGCACGTCAGTAGCGACAACAAAAGACAATAAACAAGGGGTGTTAATTGGATACCGGTTATGCGGTTAACCGCGTACCGCACCAAAAATCTCGATTACACAATCTACTGAAAACCGACAAATCAAGTCAGCTGGCGATGTCGCTTAGGAATTTCGTCTACGGCGGGAAACCATGCGGTTTGCGGTGAATAACCGATCTGCTAATCGATGTCCACAATAACCGCAACTGAGTTTGCCCACCCAGCAACACGACAACCTCCTCTTCGCTTTCCTTTCTTTCCACTCGTGGCCTCCTCCTCCTCCCATTTCAAGTTCGACATCCCATTCTAATTTTCAGGTGATACGAAGAGAAGGGGAAGTACGAAAGAAAGAACCCTAATTCACCCAACTTCGCCCAGCCCTCCTCCTCCTTTCTTCGACCTAATCCCCAAATTGACAAACCCCCCGTATCAACTAAAGTAGAAGATCGACGAACCCTAATCAGTACCCAACATCATATGCTTCTCTTTAATTTCTCACTTACTTCTATGCTCTTTGTAATATAGTTGAACCGAAAGCACACATTAGCTAGTTATTGTTCCTCTTGCATGTCGGAAAAGCTTGGTTTGGAAATACTTTAATAGAAGGGATAGAGTGATACAATAGATGAATCATTGAGATACAACGTATGATTAAGGATTGAGATGCATGTTTATATAGAGTGATATTTTCTATTCAGTAATGTATCTTTACTTTTCTGCCTATGAAACTAAAAAATCACCTAAACATATATATCTATTATTGCTTCGTGAGTCGAGATATGAGTAGTTATGCATTAGAAGACATTGTGAAATACAACCCTAGATATTTCTAGGATTTATAACTTGATTGTATCTTATATGCATTGTTAAGAAAACTACACGAAATGTACCATCAGGCAGCTGTTTATGCTGGCAGGAATGAGGCTATGGGTGGAGTTGGTGGTGCTTATGACGAGGAGGAGCATTTTCCACATGCACCACATCGCCCTACGCTATCACCAACGTCTAATACCTTGACCAGGTGGGTCTTTCCACCAACCAGTATTCTGCCTGCATGGCTAACTTGGAGAGTTCATATCCACACATCAACACCATAATGCATCTATCAAGGCCTGTGAAAGGCGCCTAACGGCCCGTCAGAGAGAGGATGTCTATGCGTTATATTCACGCCATGCAACAACTTTGGGCCAATTTGAGCTCTATTTGACCCAGTACCCCCGAGTCTCTTGTCTTTCCCCATACTCATACAATAGTGGTGATGACGAGTGAGACACTGACTCGCTCCGACTATCACAATAAAATCTCACCTAAGGTCCAAGTATAAACCTTAGATGGGTGCAATATAGGGCAAGTATGTTTAAATATCAACCCGGGCCGGCCCATGTACCCCTACTTCGATTGTTTGAAACATTATCTAGCAGATTGTTGTTTGTTGAAATCTCTACAATCTACGATTTAAAAGCAAGAATTTGAAAAGTAAAAGGGTAGGAAACTCTTGGTGAGAAGCTTCACTCGAGTGTTGCTTCTCCTAACTAACTACCATGAACCGTGGGATGGAATGAACCGGTGTGTGACGAGGCAATTGTGACCCGTAGGAGGTGCAACAATGGTTAGAACCCATCCTCTCAACCGCTAGGCCAAGGTAAGCATTAGAGACTACAATTGTAGCCCTCTTGGCACAAGCAATTGAGGGTTGACTTACCTTCTCCCTCAAACCATGGCTTGGATGTCATAATCACAATTAACCTATGTGTCTAATTCAAGTAGAGGTTTTCCCTTCATTAACCTAGTTAGGAGGCATGGAATGCCTAAGGAAACCCATCTCAGTTTTGAGCCTCTTAAGATAAGGGGCTTCTCTCCAATATAGGTTAGAATAGCACAATAGATGGCCAAACAAACAATATGCACAATCACCATGAAAAATATCTCAATTCTTAAATTAAACACCACCATCACACAGTCATTCAATCCACACAATCAATTACATGATAGTAGTTAGGGTTCTACAACACACAATTGAAAAGGTAAACTACTCCATGCCATACAAAGGAAGAACACAAAAGAGGAAGAAAGAAACCATCATTGTGATGCCTCCAACTCTCCTTGTGCTTGTAGAGATCCTCCAAAGAAGATAAGCATCCAAAATCATCACTTGGAACAAACCTTAGCCGCTTCTCTCTCTTGGTTCTTGACTTTCTCTCTCTAGGGTTTCAAGAAGAAGAAGGTTTCTCTCACTTTGGGCTCTCTTCCTTTCTTCTTCCTTTCAGCTCTCCATTAAACTGAGATCGTGCCCAGTTCACAGTCATGAACATCAGATGGCGTCCGTGAACTCACTGAACTGGATCAAAACACACTGCTTCACTTCTGGGGTTCACGGTTTATGTTTCCAGTTCATGGTCTTAGCGACCGTGAACTGCCTTTGCGTTAGTTACCTAAAAAAAACCCTCTAGACGCTTCACTGGTCACGGTTTGTGGTTCCAGTTCATGGTCCTGGCGAGCGTGAACTCCAATGTTGGAGCGTGAACTCTGGCCGAATCCTCCTCTTTGCCCGGTCTTTGCTCCTTTTCTTCCAACTTTCAACTCCGGGGTTGTTTTCACCTGTTAGACTCTGAAACACATTGAAATACAAGAAACCTAGCGTAAAACCACCCCCTTTTGGAGCTCAATTGCCACAAACGTCAAAGAGAAATGAGGATAAAAAAGTGTACAATTAGGCCCGAATCAGACACCTTGAGCTAATTTGTGTTTTTTTTTCCTTTTCTTTGTGAATTTTCTTTTCGTGTTTTAATTTATTTATGGCTAATACCACTGCACACTCGAACTATCTAGAAAGTATCATTTGTGTTCCGAACTATTCAATATTCATTTATGTTGCAACGTATGATAGTTGTGTGTCATTTATGTCCTGACGATTTCGTTAGCCGTTATAGATAATGGTTGACCATACGATGGTCAACTTGATGTTGACTTAGGAGCAGAATCGACGGAGTGATTAACATGATTTGGAGATTTTTGTAACTTTCAATTTTTCTTATTTTATTAATTTTAGATGAAAATATAAATAAAAATTAATATTTAAAATTTCATATAAGATGTCACGTCAACACATACTGAATTTTCTGTTAAATATTAATGATCAAAATTTGTCAACACTAACGGAAAATAGTTTAGGACATAAATGTCATATTGAATAGTTCGGTATACAAGTGACACATTTTTTATAGTTCGTGTTTCCTAGTGGTATTTGCCAAATTTATTTATGTGACTTGTGTTTTTTGTTTCATGTAAATCATCTCGTTTTGGAGTCGGCGATGTAAATCAAGACGCACCGCTTGGACACCTTGGACAAGATGCCTTTAGTCTTCCGCTTATATAATCTCGTCGTTCCCATTGTTAATTATATATAGATTAGGTACCATATTGTAAATATAATTTAGACTTGTATTTAGGGTTTCTTCTAGCATACCATATATGTTGTAACATTCCAAACATTTTCCCGACAAGATATTATCTGCTTTAGGCCTAGATGCTCACGATTTTTGCCTTGGGGTGCATATCAAGGTGACTTTCGATAAGGTCACCCATCCTTATAGTGCTCCACGCTGAGCAGATTTAACTTCGGATTTATCATAAGAACTCCATTTTCCCCAAAATACGTCTTGTCACTTAAGCCAGATTTCTTACTTATACACCATGGATATCTCCATGCTTTGTCGATGTGGGATTCGCCTAAAGTGTTACATAAACCCCACCCTTTGGGACTCAATGTCCTCATTGAGGTTTGCCCCACCATCGTTCAAGAGGGACGCGAGAGGCTTTGATACTACTTCTAACATCCAGAATCTTTTCTCGACAAGCTATTGTCCGCTTTGGGTTTAGACTTTAGACTCTCACGGTTTTTTCCATGGGGTCTATATCATATTGACTTCCCATAAGGTCACCCATACTTGCAGTGCAACATGCTGAGCATGCTTAACTTTGGAGTTCTCACAAGAACTCCTCCATTTCACTACAAAACGCGTCTTGTCAATTACAGCTCTACTATTCCCCATATAATGATGTCTTTTATCTTCTTTTTTAGTTTTTGTCTCTGGTTTTATTTTGCTGCAGCGGACCTTTCTTCCTTGGTCTATGACTCGCTTCTACCGTCACTCTAGAAAATGGCCAAGTGTAACCACCTACTAGAGCGTAGTATAGCGGGTTTGGGTTTTAATGTCAACCTGGGTCCTAAGTGTGATGACTACTCCTTGAATTCTTATTATTTAGCAGTGAAAGTGTAGTGAAGGTCCAAAACAAGCAAACAAGCAAAGCAATTAAAGGTTGTTTTCAAGTTGAGAGAGGTTACCCGGATATGGTTCCCCCTAGACTGCAGTTAAGCTAGATTGTAATTTACCAAGTTCAAGTTCAATGATAGTTATACTGCGGGAGGTTCTTAAACAGTCTGCAGTCTCGACTAAAGGTCTCCAGACCCTCCCAATCTGAGTCCCCAGCGGGTGACTATTCTCCACCGGAGTAAACAGATTGAGGCCCTAACGAATCAAACCTCCTCTACTGAAGTAAATCCGATACAGAATAGTGAATTGACTCCTCGACTAAAGTCGTCAATTCACTACCTTCAATCAAGGATGCTCTATCAACCTAGGAAGATATTCTCTTTCTAGGTCAAAGCAGAAATATCAGGAATTTGATCAGGATTCATGCCATTCAAGAAATCAAACCTCAATTGAATATAATCATATCACTGAATTCGTACTTGAGTTCATACAATCAGACCTAACATTCAAATCTAGGGTTCTTCATACCCAGGTGAATGAGAAAGTTACTCCATAGAGAGAGATGGGAAATCTAGCTCAGACGCGGAAATCATACTGTGAAGGATGAGATTCTGCTTCTGGCAATCAATCACCACTTCTCCAAGCTCAAGCCGGGCTCCAATGGTGATGAAGATCGATCTAAGGCGCTTGAAGAATCAGGTTCGTCACTTTCTCTCTCTAGGTATACGCTTTTTCTCTCTAAAACTCGAACTCTTCAACTTTGCCCTTCTTTTCCCTTAAGAAGCTATCATTCGCGATCCCCGGTCACAATCCCCGCTCGGGTATTTTAGTGACCGGCCGGGGATTGTTGAAACGCACCGCACAGGACAGGGGGTTAATCCCCGATCGAGGTCAAGAATACCCGATCGGGGATTTAAGCGCTACAACCGAGCCCCCTTATGTTTCTCAAACATCCAAAAGTCATTTTCCCCAGCCTCCTCAGAATATTACCCGGCCGGGTATTTTTTCTCATGGCCGGGTATTTTGCTCCTCCAGCACCCTTCGACTTAAATGTCTTCCTTTTGACCCGAAACTCATTTCTTCGCCTCAATGTCAACGCCAAGCCCTGAAATATGATATAAACACACAACCTAGCGTGAAATCGGCTTAAAACACGAGAATCAACATCTCAAACGGCTCAAAAATGAGGGTAAAAATATGTGCAATTAACGGTCTATCAAATTCCTCACACTAAACCGTTTGCTTGTCCCCAAGCAAACCTAACTCAAACCAATGTAACTCTCCAGACCTCTATAGCAACAAACAACCCCGATCGTCGGTAGAGGATTTCCTAGATCATATAGCAGCTTACGAGGTCAACTGGTCTTCTAAGACATTCCCTATCTCTCTCAATGCGAGTACTAGACTCAAGCCAGGATCATGAGAAGAAATGGAAGTAAGACAGCCAGTTCATGGATAAATGGACTCACACCATTCACAACCAAGGACTCATTATACCGGGGTGCTCTTTCACTTCATTTCACCGTTGGAACCCCTTTTTCACTTTCATTTTATATTTCTCTTTTTTTTTTTTCATTCACTTGGCGGGGGTTCCAACTGCAGTCTTCTGCATAGTCGACCCTTATTAGTCGAGCAAGAGCAATTTCTGTACATCTGGCACTCGCTAGAGTACTTCTTTTAACTACTTTTCCTCAACTCGTGTGGAGGGTCAATGAAATTAAGGGGGGTCGGAAGCTCTATCCGTGCCCTTAAAAACACATCCTCGAGTAGGCAAACCGTTCAACGGGTGAAAATTTTACTTGTACTAGAGACAGCTTAGCTTCACCATGTAGGAGTACCCCACTAAGGATCACTAAAATCTCTTCCAAAACCAGATTTTGTGCAATGAACGGTGCCACACACGTTGGGCTTACCACATGTTTCAGATTTCAATGATTTCGACGTGGAGGACCAACTGCTTTTCATTTCCCACATGAGCACCTTGTTCGATACACGAGTCCATAACACAATCCAATCAGAGTCACCATTACCACATGAATTCAACGGTCTTAGCTCCTCTAATTCACAAAATCAACTGGCACAGCAGAGAGCTAGATAGCAAAAATCTTATACTTCAACATCCTCCTTAGTGCTACACTACCTCCCTAGGTTGCACATTACTATAGAGACTGTCAATGCAAAGCATACTGAGCAGGCAATTTGCAAGGAAACACGTACTTGGCTCCCTCAAATCAAAATTTGGACAGTGGACTAGGCTCCAAGCACACAAACAGATCTAATGCAGTCAAAAGAGAAACATTCCCCCCCCCCCCCCACACACACACACACACTTAAGTTCGACATTGCCCTCATTGGAGAAGAGGGAAGGATAAGGGGAACAATGTTACCGGTGTGCACAGACTGCAGGAGACTAGAAGGGGACCAGTCTGTGTGAAGAGGATTAGAGAAGGGACCAATCAGGGGCAAAGGCATAGCTAAAGGGAAAACAAAATCTCAACCACAATACGTTAGGTCCAGTTGTCAGCCCAATAGTACATCATCCAAAATAAAAATAAAGAAAATAAACCAACACACAAGACAGTTCGCACTCCGAAAGAAAAAACAACACAAGACGGGCCACGAGTACAGCCTACTCGAGCTCAGTGAAGTCGATATGATCCATGAGGTCGTCGTCCCCATCGGGCGGGGGTGGTGAGTGGTCCCACCGGGTGGTCCAGTGGTCCTCCTAAGGTGGGTAACAGGACTGGAGCAAGTGCTGTAGGCACACCATCATCTGGCGGCCACGATCCCGCTCCCGCTCGATGCGAGCACTAGTGACTCCCATCTAAGCCTCCATCCGGTTGAGGCGCTCGTCCACAACCGTCATTCGGGACTGGTACTCGGCCTGGTGGGCCGAATACTGCTGGTAGAACTGAACCTGATGGTCCATGAGTTGCTGGTTCTGAAGCTCGAGCTGCTGGAACTGGAGCCCCGTTTGCTGGAACTGCTCCATGAAGAAGTCCATCGACGGGCCAGAAGCCATCGACGGACCAGAAGGACTGGAGGAGGACTCGCCTCTCTCGGATCTCCGTCGTGGCTGAAGGTCCCCTGGGGGGGGGGAGCGGGGGCTCCGACTCATCAGCATCCATGGCCCCACCACCATCATCATCATCATCATCGGCCTCTTCCTCGCCGAAGTAGTCGTCGCCTCTTCATCCTCATCTAGATCAGCATCCTCCTCAGGGGGCAAAGACAACCCATCCACCCAGGAGCGGTGCCATCAGAGGCCAGGAGGAGTGCATTGTGAAGCACGTCGCAGCTGAGAGGGGTGGAGCCGCCCCGTGCTGAGGCATTTGTGAGTCCCTCCAGGTCAATATCGAAGTGGCGCCCCAGTCGGGTGATCAGGGGACCACAGAAGACATGGTTGGGTTTCCCGTGGCACCGAGAGAAGGTGGTAGCCATGAAAGAACCCCAAATGTAGCATATGCTCCGGGTACCCCATCGAATACATGACGTAGAGCACCCGCTTCGAGATCTTCTGCGACCCAGTGGCATTGGGGACGATGGAGCGAGTGATTAGTAGATTGATGATGTGCCACTACGACCTAAGGCTGCAGACGGATGTCTGGCCGGCGTCGAAGGAGTCCACCAGTAGGCGTCCTGAGCTATCTGGCGGTAGAACCTATCATGGTGCCAGTCCGTCGGGTGCGGGTTCTATACCTCGTGGTGCGAGTAGGGGTGGTACTGGATCCCCATGGTGTAGGCTATCCCATCAATGGTCAGCTGCCGTGGCCTGCCACCTAGCCTATAGGTGACCGCGAGGGAGTCCCGAGTCACCTTGGAGAGGTAGTGGTAGGTGGTGTAGAACTCCCACACCAGCTCTGTGTAGGTGAGCTCGTCGATGGTCAGCAATGTCCGCCAATCAGGGTGGCTGATGGCAGTGTAGATCCCGTTCAAGCAGTGGAGCTGCTCGAAGACTCCCCACTCCAAATGGTGGTGACGCTGGAGTACTCCACGGGTGACCTTGCGGAACTAGTTGGCGTAATCCCGATGCAGGTCCTGCATGAACAGGTGATTGAGTGACATGATCCTGCAAAATCAACAAACCAAAGGTAGAGCAAGGAAAAACTCGTTAGGACCAACAATATGGGTTCATTACTTCCCCCACACTTAAGGACCACCTAGGCTAATAGTTTAAGCACAAACGGTTGAATCTCAAGCAACACAACCGCAATCAAGGCAATAATCAAACATAACCGACCAATTCAATCAAATGGGTAGCACAAACACATTAGCCATTCATACTCACGACATCCCTCACCCTATTCTAATTCTAGCATGCCAGGCAAAACACAGTTTTCGGTCCTAAAATCTACAGTTCGATTTTCCAGAAAAAGGACAGCTAACAAGAAACACACCTAGAAACTCAAGTAGAACTGTAGACGAGACGCGAAGAGAGGGTGAGGGACACAAAATTACGCCCAAAACAATCCAGAAAACTCGCCGGAAAATCCGCCGGAAAGTCGCCGGAAAACCGTCAGCGGTGAAGATGCGGCGGCCGGTGCCAGGAAGGCTGCCGGCGGCGCTCAGAGAGGAGAGAGGAGAGAGGAAATGAGAGGAAGAGAGAGGGAGGTTTGGAAAAAATGAGAGGAGAGAGAGAGGCGACCGGGGGTTTGCTTAAATAGCAAAAATCCCCGGCCGGGCCTCAGTCGGGTATTTTTGGAACATCTTCTCATGATCCTGGCTTGAGTCTAGTACTCGCATTGAGAGAGATATGGAACATCTTAGAAGACCAGTTGACCTAGTAAGCTGCTTTATGATCTAGTAAATCCTCTACCAACGATCGGGGTTGTTTGTTGCTATAGAGGTCTGGAGAGTTGCATTGGTTTGAGTTAGGTTTGCTTGGGGACAAGCAAATGGTTAAGTGTGGGGGAGTTTGATAGACCATTGATTACAAATGTTTTTACCCCTATCCTTGAGCCGTTTGAGATGTCGATTCTCGCGTTTTAGGCCGATTTCACGCTAGGTTGTTCTTGTTTGTGATATTTCAGGTCCTAGTACGTGAATGAAGGTTTAGGAACGAGTTCGGGGTCGATTGGACGAAGTTTGGACGTTTGGAGAGAAGTTGAGAAGCCACACGGTCATGCCTAAAAGCTACATGACCGTGTAGGGGACCTCTGATGGCCGTGTGGAAATTCCAGGGAACTCACACGGGCACCTTGGGAAGCCACACGGCCGTGTGGGTCGTGGCCGTGTAGGAAGCCTGAAGCCACATATCAAAACGCTGCGGTTTTCACAACTAACATGGGCAGCTGGAGATGTCACACGGCCGTTTGAGTCAGGATTTTCTGGTTTTAAGCCAATTTTCAGCAGAAGAGAAGGGAGTTCCGAGTTTTAGAGAAAGAAAGTGATCCCTAGAGAGAGAGAGAGCGACAAACCAGAGTTCCCAAGTGCCCTAGCATGATCTTCATCACCATTGGAGCTCGTCTTACACTTGGAGAAGTGCCGATTGACGACCAGGAGCAGATTCTCATCCTTCACAACATGATTTCTGCATTTGAACCTGCTTTTGCTTCTCTCTCCATGGAGTAGTTTTCCCATTCATCTGGGTATGGAGAACCCTAGATTTGTGTGTTAGGTCTGATTGTATGAACCCAAGTACAGATTCTATGATTTGATTATATTCAATTGAGGCTTGAATGATTGAATGACTTGAATCCTGATCAAATTCCTGTTATTTCTTCTTTAGCCTAGAAAGAGGATATCTGCCTAGGTTGATAGAGCACCCTTAATTGAAGGTAGTGAATTGGCGACTTTAGTCCAGGAGCCAATTCACTATTCTGTACCGAATTTACTTCTATAGTGGAGGTTTTGTTCGTTAGGGCCTCAATCTGTTTACTCCGGTGGAGGTTAGTCGCCCGCTGGGGACTCAGATTGAGAGGGTTTGGAGACCTTTAGTCGAGACTTCAGACTGCTTAAGAACCTCCCGCTGTATAACTATCATTAAAACTGAACTTGGTAAATTGCAATCCGGCTTGACTGTAGTCTAGGGGGAACCATATCCGGGTGACCTCTCTCGACTTGAAAACAACCGTTTAATTGCTTTGCTTGTTTGCTTAATTGAACCTGCACTAAAGTTTCACTGCTAGATAATAAGAATTCACTGAGTAGTCATCACATCTAGGACCCGGGTTGACAATAAAACCCAAACCCGCTATACTACGCTCTAGGAAGTGGTTACACTTGGCCATTTTCTACGGTGATATGCTTGCTGTCACACCTATGCATGCTATTTCTCACCAGGTACACGAGCCTGTCGTGTACCCCCCCCCCTGTGCATCTCGTTTTGCAGGACCCCCTCTCACGCCTTCGCCGCCACTCCCGACAACCTCACTTCCCAATAAAAATCTCAAGGAGGAGTGGCGGTCGAAGCCGCAGGTGGCTAAGCCTGCACGGAAGAAAGGTGGAGACCACTATGAGATGGTTCCACCTTCTGCACCACAACCACCCTGGCCATCCGAGTACTCACTCGCCTGCATCTTGCCGGATGGCCAGGTCGAGCTGACCAATGCTGGTGGTCGCACCCGTCGGGTGCATGGTCACATCTGAAGATGTACCTCAAGAGCGATGTGGATCTGCTCTTGGAGGCACCTGCTCCTGCACCCCACTGAGTATCCACCATGGCGTCCAGCTAAAAGACGGTAAAGAAGCGCTTGTGGGGAGGCAACCCCACCACGGTTTTCATTTATTTCTTTTTTTTTTAGTCGGATTGTAAACTGGTTTAGTTTTGGTTTGTTTTCTTTTGTTTTGGATGATGTATTATTGGGCTGACCATTGGACCTAACATATTGTGTTGAGTTCTTCTGTTCCCTTTAGCTCTGATTTGTCCCTGACTGGTCCCCTCTCCAGTCCTCTTCGCTCAGACTGGCCCACTTCCAGTCTCATGTAGTCCGTGCACACCGGTAACATCGTTCCCCTTATCTTTCCCTCTTCTCCATTGAGGGCAATGTCGATCTTAAGTGGGGGGGGGGATGTTTCTCTTTTGACTGCATTAGATCTGTTTGTGTGCTTGGAGCCTAGTCCACTGTCCAAATTTTTAAATTTGAGGGCTCCAAGTACGTGTTTCCTTGCAAATTGTCTGCTCAGTATGCTTTGAATTGACAGTCTCTATAGTAATGTGCAACCTAGGGAGGTAGTGTAGCACTATGGAGGATGTTGAAGTTTAAGATTTTTCCTATCTAGCTCTCTGTTGTGCCAGTTGATTTTGTGAATTAGTGGAGCTAGGACCGTTGAATTCATGTGGTATTGGTGACCCTATGTGGATTGTGTTATGGACTTGTGTATTGAACAGGGTGCTCATGTGGAAAATGAAAAATGCAGTTGGTCCTCCATGTCAAAATCATCAAAATCTTAAAGATGGGGTATGCCCAACGTGTGCGGCACCGTTCATTGCACCAAATCGGGTTTTGGAAGAGATTTTAGTGATCCTTAGTGGGGTACTCCTACAAGGTGAAGCTAAGCTGTCTCTAGTACAAGTAAAACTTCCACCCGTTGAACGGTTTGCCTACTTGAGGATGTGTTTTTAAGGGCACGGATAGAGCTTCCGACCCCCCTTAATTTCACCGACCCTCCACACGAGTTGAGGAAAAGGAGTTAAAAGAAGTACTCTGGCAAGGGCCAGATGTACAGAAATTGCTCTTGCTCGACTAATAAGGGTCGACCGTGCAAAAGACTGCAGTTGGAACCCCCGCTAAGTGAATGAAATGAAAAAAAAAAAGAAATAAAGTGAAAGGTAGTGAATTGACTGTTATTTCTGTTAAGTCAATGATTGAATGACTTGAATTGACTGCAAAAGACTGCAGTTGGAACCCCCGCTAAGTCAATGATTGAATGACTTGAATCCTGATCAAATTCCTGTTATTTCTGTTTTGGCCTAGAAAGAGAATATCTGCCTAGGTTGATAGAGCACCCTTAATTGAAGTTAGTGAATTGGCGACTTTAGTCGAGGAGCCAATTCACTATTCTGTACCAAATTTACTTCGGTAGTGGAGGTTTTTTTCTTTAGGGCCTCAATCTGTTTACTTTGGTGGAGGTTAGTCGCCCGCTGGGGACTCAGATTGAGAGGGTCTGGATACCTTTAGTCGAGACTTCAGACTGCTTAAGAACCTCCCGCAGTATAACTATCATTAAAACTGAACTTGGTAAATTGCAATCCGGCTTGACTGCGGTTTAGGGGAACCATATCCAGGTGACCTCTCTCGACTTGAAAACAACCATTTAATTGCTTTGCTTGTTTGCTTAATTGAACCTGCACTAAAGTTTCACTACTAGATATAAGAATTCACTGAGTAGTCATCACATCTAGGACACGAGTTGACAATAAAACCCAAACCCGCTATACTACTCTCTAGGAAGTGGTTACACTTGGCCATTTTCTAGGGTGACAATGGGAGTGAGTCAGGAACACCTGTGTGACCGTGAACGGTCCAGACCACCAGGAACGGAGCTTCCGGGAAAGAGCTTCAGGCGAGAGTTATAGAGGAGAACTCGATCACCAACCTGAAACTCCTTCGGACCCCGCAACCGTGCGTCGTGCTGGCGCTTAGTGCGCTCCTTGTACATCTTGGTGTTCTCATAGGCGTGATAACGCCATTCCTCCAGCTTCAGCATCTGCATTTTGCGTTCAACACCTGCAACACTAACATCCAAGTTGAGCAGCTTAAGGGCCCAAAAGGCCTTGTGCTCTAGTTCCACGGGCAAATGACATGCCTTTCCATAGAGAAGCCGGTACGGTGAAGTACCAATGGGTGTCTTGTAGGCAGTGCGGTATGCCCAGATAGCATCATCGAGCTTGGTGGAGAAATCCTTGCGGGACTGATCCACCGTCTTCTCTAGGATACGCTTGAGCTCCCGGTTCGTCAACTAGGCCTGACCACTTGTTTGAGGGTGATAGGCCACGGACACCTTATGAGTCACATCATAGCGAGACAGTAACTTATCAAACTAGCCCTGGAAATAGGTGCCTCGATTGCTTATGATGGCTCTAGTTGTCCCAAACCGGGAGAATAGCTGTTTCAAAAAAACACAAACACGTCTAGCATCATTAGTGGACAAAGCTTGCGCCTCAGCCCACCTAGAGAAGTTCCTCATCCAGGTTAAGAAATGGGAAACACCAACGGAGGAGTTGGCTGTTGATCTTATCAGAGTACCGCTCATCGCCCAAATCAGGGGAGTGCCCTTCTACTGCTACACCGAGAGACTCGGGTCCTTGCTTGGGGCTGCTATGCGACCTACAGAGGCGGCCACAATCCACCGCTCAGTTTCTACCGGTGGGCTTTACTTCAGGACGAAGATCACTCTGGATCTGCAACTTCCCCTTCCGGATGAGATTTCTGCTGCCCATGAGGACCCATCGAAAGGGTGTTTCAAAGCCAAGGTGAAGTTTGAGTCTCTTCCCCAATTCTGTTTCTTTGCGATGTGATTGGTCATGTGAATAGGAATTGTTCGAGAAAGGATGAACTGGATGGACAACTGCCAAGATATGGAAAGCATATGGTGGCGTAAGAGTTTGGTCCGAGAGTGAATGAAAACACGTTGGCTCGTAGAAGGCGGCGGTTTGTGTGGACGCTGGCCCAAAATCGCTCGGGGAATCAGATGGCGGCTGCTTCGTCAGGTAGGCGGGCACAACCTGGTGTAGCTCTTGATATGGGTCACCAACCCTCCAAACTCCACCTGGGAATGACATCCCACTTGGGGCGGCTCTGCATCTCTGCTCCACCGGATGGCCTGCCAACCAATTCATTGGTGAATTCGCAGCAGCAAGATGAGAGAATGGCTGAGCAGCATGAGCCAAATGCTAAGAGAGCCAGGCTTGGTCCAAAAGGAAATGAGGCAAGTTCCAATGAGAAGCTGGAGGTGGAGACAACCGGCCCTTATTGGTCCCAGTCCGATCCATGAGCATACTCGCCTGGAATCGCAGGGGGTTAGGAGCGCCCCTGACAGTTCCGGTCCTGAAGGAGACATTGCTCTGAGAATCTCCGCTGCTTGTGTGTTTGAGTGAAACCAGGAGGGAGGATGAGTTTGTGATTCAGCAGTTTGGTAGTTTAGGCTTCCCTGCGGAGCAAGTACATAGTGTGTCCAATAATGGTAGTGGCTTAGTTGTTGCCTGGTCTTCTAGTCTGGTTTGTACAGTTTCAGTAGAGTCTTTAGGGTTTTTATTTGTCGAATGTGAGCACCCTTCTTTAGGCAGATTTGGTGTAGTCTTTGTACACTTAAGCTGCAAGGAAGGCCTCCGCCAGTTCCAATTGAATGAAATTTCATATATGATTTCCTTGTATGAGGACCCGGTATTTGTGGTGGGTGATTTTAACTGTCTTCTTTCTAGTAGTGAAAAGCAAGGAGGTCGAACCCCTTCCCCAGCAGCCCTTGCTCAACTCAACCTCTTCTTGGGGGCGGCAGGGCTTCATGATTTGGGGTACATTGGACCTCGGTTCACTTGGACTAACCGACAATCAAATGATGATCATATCCAATCACGGTTGGATCGGTGTTTGGCGATTAATCATGTACTTGCTTTATGGCCTGATGTGCAGGTCCACTCAAAGATTTCACTACGACCGACGATGGGATTACAACCCGGATCTACCTCCTCTAGTCCACTCGGCATGGCAGCAACCTGCTGGTGGCACTCCTCTTTTCCAGGTGCAAACTCGACTGAAGCATGTTCGACAGGAGCTGCTTGGATGGGCCAAGGCAGGTACGGCAAACTCAGCTCGCCAAATCCGAGAACTGTGAGGGGCTATTGATGCTGAAAGGGAGGCTGCTGCAGTTGACTGGTCAATTATCAATAACTTAGAGAGGCAACTTGCTGATGCCTACAAACAGGAGGAGCTGTATTGGAAGCAGAAATCGCGAGTCAACTGGCTCCATGGTGGTGATGCCAACACTCATTTCTTCCACTTGACCACAATGCGGAAAAGGCGGCAGAACTTCATTCCTGGCATTCATGATGTGCAAGGGGCACTCCAAACTGCTGAATAAGCTAAAGAGGAAGTCTCAGTATCCTACTTTGAATTGTTATTTTCCTCGAATGGCTTGAACCGCACAGATTTTATACGTAGTTTGGATCTTCCTCTCAAGGTAACAGGGCGAATGAATGATCAGCTCACTATGCAGGTCTCTAGGTCGAAAATCAAAAAGGCAGTTTTTAACATTGTGAAAGGCCAAGCTCCCGGATCTGACGGCTTTACTGCTGCATTCTATCAAAGATTTTGGGAAGAGATATGTTGGGATGTATCTGAAGCCATCTTATCATTCTTCCAAACAGGCCGCCTGCTCCATAGTGTGAACCACACACTGTTGACCCTCATTCCGAAAGTTGCTAATGCTGACTCCATGCGCCAAATGCGGCCTATTGGGTTATGCCAGGTTTTGTATAAAATTATCGCCAAAATTTTAGCATCAAGGCTCAGTTCCATTCTTCCTCAAATCATTAGTCAGTTTCAAAATGGTTTTGTTAAGGGGCGGTGCATCTCCGATAACATTCTCATTGGCCGGGAAGGGATGCAATTTCTCAAGACCAAGATCCGGGGACAAGACAAATGGATGGCATTAAAGCTCGACATGGAAAAGGCGTATGATCGAGTAGAATGGGAGTTTCTTTTCCAGGTTATGCAATCGATTGGATTCTGTGAGAAGTGGATGTTATGGATCAGAGCCTGTGTATCAACGGTCCGTTTTTCAATTCTACTCAATGGAGCTCAGTATGGTTACTTTCAACCTCAGAGGGGGATTCGCCAAGGGGATCCGTTATCACCACTGTTGTTCGCCATTTACACGGAAGCCTTTTCTGCCAAGATCAGCCGAGAGATCGCCTCCTCCTCCCTTCATGAGTTAAGAGTTCACAGGTGAGCTCCTCCAATCTCACATTTGTTTTTCGCCGATGAATCTTACCTGTTTCTCAGAGCTTCTATTCCTGAATGTGCGAACTTGATGCAATTACTTTCTGATTATGAGATGTATAGTGGTCAACGGGTTAATCTGCATAAATCAGCTGTGTGTGTTAGTGGCAATGTTTCAGATCAGGAGTTCCATGCAATTAGCTCCTTTTTAGGGGTGGGAATTATGCAGCCTGATGACAGGTATTTGGGACTTCCTTCTCAAATTCGCCGCTCTAAATCCCTATCTTTCCAATTCATTGAGGAAGATTTGGCGGCTCGAATTAGTAGTTGGAAGGCAAAGGCCTTATCGTTGGTGGCGAAGGAGGTTGTTATCAAGGCGATTGGGGTTGCTGGTCCAATTTATGCCATGTCGGCTTTCCGGCTGCCTCAAGAAACCTGTCGTAGATGCAATGGCTAGCTGTCAAAGTACTGGTGGGCTGGACAGGATAAGGAGAAAGGCATACATTGGATTTCTTGGAGTGCAATCTGTCAAAGCATGTTTACAGGTGGGCTTGGATTTCGGGACTTTAACAGGTTTAACATTGCGCTTCTAGCTATACAAACTTGGCGAGTATTGTTCAGCCCTTCCAGTACCATCGCCCGTATCTATAAGGCTCGCTATCACCCGTTACATGACTTTCTTGATGCTTCGGCGGGTGCTCGCCCATCCTGGGCTTGGCAAGGTATTTTGGAAGGGAGGGATCTGCTCAAGCGTGGTTTGCGGTGGCAGGTCGGAGATGGGACACAAATCCAGGTTACGCAGGACAATTGGCTGCCATCATCTCCCCCATCATGCCCTCAATTACGTCCAGGTATCCAATCCTGCCCTTCACTAGTTTCCGAGCTCATTTGCCATACATCCCATTCGTGGAAGACAGATCTCCTGAACTCTCTTTTCATGCCTGTGAGTGTGGATCTTATTCTGTCCATTCCTCTTCCTGTCTCTTATACTTTAGACAGAGTGATTTGGCATTACTCTCCTTCTGGAGTTTATACTATAAAGACAGGTTATCACCTACTGTCAAACGAGTATAACGTGGCCCACCCACCGCCCCTGCTGCCGATTGAGGCGCGATTTTGGAAACTTCTTTGGAGCTTGCCGGTGTCGCCCAAGTTGAGATTCTTCTTCTGGCGGGCTGTCCGTGGCTTCCTTCCGCTTCAAACAGTCTTGTTCACCAAAACTCTGGTTCCAACCACGGAATGTCCCATCTGTTCGGCGAAAACAGAATCCTTTTCCCATTTCTTCTTTGGTTGCAGGGTGGCGCGCGGTTTATGGAGCCTGGAGAACAGAGAAGACTTATGCAATCATCTTGGTGGAATGGCCCCTGATGATGCTTGGAATCATCTATTTTTCTCCTTGAACTTGTCTAAATCTGAAATTGCAGATGTGATTTTCATTTTGTGGAGGATTTGGAAAGCTAGGTGTTGGTCTGTACATGCTCATATTCAATATTTGCCATTGCCTTTGTTTTGTCAATTTCAGAGGCAGCTAGAAGAATTGAGGGGAGCTAAACAGGTGGCGCCAACCATCCCCAGGCAAGGTCCTGGAACAGGCTGTGGACCGGGCAACGGCGACCGGACAGCGGCGGGACTGCCCTCCACTGCAATCACCGTTTGGTTTGATGGTGCAGCTAAGCGGGGACGAGGTGGTAGCATTGGCTTCGTTGGTTTTCAACCTACAGGTAATGTCCTATTTGCTTTTGGGAAATTCTACGAAGGGTTACATGATCCTTTTGTTATGGAAAGTCTGGCTTTACGGGATGCTCTACAATGGTGTTTGACTCATGGTTTTGTGTGTGTCCAATTTCATGGGGATTCGCAACAACTGATACGGTGTATGGTGGGGGAGGATTTTGCTCATGATCGAAGTGGTGCGGTGCTTGAAGATGCTCGGGTTCTAGCTGCCCAATTCAGTTGGATTTCGTTCTGTTTTGTTTCTCGTCGACTTAATAGGGCCGCCCATCTTGTGGCACATAAAGCCCTCTCATCGAGAGTTCAACTATTGGTCGACTCCCGCACTTTACTTGACTCCTCTATTTGACTCTCTTGTTACCCCTACTTTTGAGAAAAAAAACTCTTTAAAATGTATTATAAGTAGTGTAGAGATGTAGGCCGATTTTCCCGGTTTAATAGACACAAAACGAAATACCGCCTAGTTTTGTTCTAATCGGCGGTAGGCTACTTCTGGTGAAAGGTAGCCATTTTTATGCAGCAAAAAAAAAATCAAAACCGTCGTCCAAACAACAGATGCCCAAACCCTAATCCCTAATCGAATGATCCTCTTCTCTTCCCCATAAACTTTCGCACAACTTTTGTTTGTCTTCTCCGTAAGGAAGCAAGGACAATGATTTTTTGATTTTCCTCTTTTGATTTATTCTCCCCGTTCTTCGTCGTTCGCTTTTCCCGGCCGAGCTTATTGGTCGCGGCGCGGAGTTTGGTTAGAGGGAGCAGGGGATTGGGAGGGAGAGATGAGAGAGAAGGAAGATGATGATTATTTTTGTGGGGAGAGTTGGGTTTAAGTCTTTGAGTGAGGTGGAGCGACGGGGACGGGGATAGGAGAATTGGGAAGTGAGATGAGATCGTTTGTTAGGTTTATATTTTTTTATGTTTTAATTATTAATATATATATAATAATTGTAAATTATTATATAGTAAAGTAAAATACTAATTCGTAATCAAAATTTTCACTCTTAACATTATGAGTATATATTTTTCAAAGTGTGTATAATTGTAATGTTGGACTTATGTTATTGATATTTCATATTTTACAACTTTTTATCAGGTATATTCTGGTTTTATTCCGGTATTACTCCGAAATAGTACCCTAATTTTGTCGATACGGGTTTTTAACAAAAAATAAATTTTTTATTCCCAAAACAGTATTTTACAGATACAAAATGGTTGAACAACGATCGTACCACAAAATACCCTACCATAGTTGAGTCTGGTATGACTTCTAGTTTCCTGATACATGATAGATATTGATGTATGCAACTGAATGGGTTAAGAAATATAATC